GCCAGCTTGCTAAAAGCGCTCAGCTTGCAATGCAAACAGTAACAATACTTACAGAGGAAATTAAGAAGCTACGTAAAGAAAACCAGCGCCAACGACAAAAGCAGGAGCGGCAGCGTCAATATATCGCTTCTGGTGGGGTGCTCCGGGTCCAACAGGCTCAGCAGATCATTGCAGAGGCAGAAAGGGTGGTGATGGGGGGTGACCAGAACCAGACTGGCGAGCGACGTCAGCGCGCGCCGCCAACGTGCACGAAGTGCCACGTTCAAGGACATACTCGGACTTCATGTAAAGCTAGATAAAGAATAATATCTTTTAATTTAATTTAATTTTATTAAGTTGCTGTAGAGCAATTGAGTAGAGCGTCGCGTCAGGTTTGGTGGGGTGGGCCACTTACTGATGTGGGCCGCTTACTGATAAAACACGTTACTTGGTTTGCACACATAAGCTGTGGAACAGAGTTTACAGGGTCCCGGAGAAAGGGCGGGAGAGCGGTCGTTGTATGTAAGAACGAGATAGCACCGGACGAGCCGCTCCGCAGCTGGATTGTTTATGCCAAGAATACTCACACTGATAATGCCTCACTGCCCCTCGGCGTACGGTTGTCGTGGTGGGCGGGCTAATGGTGGCCAATGCAGGGGGCAAGTAGTAGTAAGCGAGGAGCCCATTACGGATTGGGGCCTTTCGGACCCTGAACTCGCGATTAGGTGTCGTGTCTCTTAGGGACAGCCCCCAACTCCCTTTCAAACTCCATCCCCCAATTCCTTTGTCTACGGGAGGTAAGCCTATGCCATCGCATGAGCCCAGTTTTTGGCGCCAGCAACTAACGTGCAGATCGCCAGGTAGCTTCATCGAGCCTCCAGCCCACCATGTCCTCGTCACCCGCTGGCAGCGTCCGCCAGCGAGCAGGCAAAGACAAGAAGCGACCCGTGTCTCCAAACCCAGAAGCACTGTCCGAGAAGATGTCCAATGTCGTCGAGAAGGTCAAGCCGTACAAGCCGCAGTCGCAGGGCAGCGAATGGGACTACAGGCTTGCCATCACCGTCATGACCGCCCTCGCCTTCGTCACGCGCTTTTGGGGCATCAGGCATCCTGACCAGGTTGTCTTTGACGAGGTGCATTTTGGAAAGGTATGTCGCTATTTCCAGCTCCAGCAGCAGCGCCACATACCCCCAGGGCGCAATCAAGGCATCCATTTTGACTACAAGGCTAATCGTACATGCAGTTCGCTTCGTACTACCTGCAACGCACCTACTTCTTCGATGTCCACCCTCCCTTCGGAAAGCTACTCTTTGCTTTCGCTGGCTGGCTCGTCGGATACAAGGGCGACTTTCTCTTCGAGAACATTGGCGACTCGTACATTACCAACAAGGTCCCGTATGTCGCATACCGTGCTATGCCCGCATCGCTCGGCGCCCTTACGGTTCCCATTGTCTTTATGATCATGTGGGAGTCTGGTTACTCGCTGCCTGCCTGCGTCACCGCTGCCGGGCTTATGCTCTTCGATAACGCCCACATTGGCCAGACGCGCTTGATCCTTCTCGATGCCTCCCTTATCTTCTTCATGGCTCTTTCTGTGCTATCCTACATTCGCTTCTACAAGGAAAGACATGTGCCTTTTGGCCGAAAATGGTGGAAGTGGCTCCTTCTGACGGGTATCAGCTTGAGCTGCGTCATCTCCATCAAATATGTCGGTGTTTTCACTTTCTTCTCCATTGGTGTCCCGGTCTTGATTGATCTTTGGGACTTGATGGATGTCAACCGACGACAGGGCGCATTGACTATGGCCGAGTTTGGCAGGCACTTCGCTGCTCGTGCTGTTGGCCTGGTCATTGTTCCCTTCTTCCTCTACCTCTTCTGGTTCCAGGTGCACTTCACAATCCTTACTCGTTCTGGACCTGGCGACGACTTCATGACCCCGGAGTTTCAGGAAACTTTGAGCGACAACATGATGAGCCTCCAGTCTGTCGGTATTAACTACTACGACGCCATCACGATCCGCCACAAGGAGACAAAAGTCTACCTCCACAGCCACCCGGACCGCTACCCGCTACGATACGAGGATGGACGTGTTTCTTCTCAAGGACAACAGGTCACTGGTTATCCCCACAATGACACCAACAACCACTGGCAAATCCTGCCTTCGCAGCCTCTGCCAAGCGAGGTCGGTCAGCGCGTCAAGGTGGGCGACATAGTTCGTCTCCGTCATTTGATCACTGATACTATTCTCTTGACCCACGATGTTGCGTCGCCCTACTACCCCACTAACCAGGAATTCACGACTGTCAGCAGAGAAGATGCAGCCAGCGCACGTTTCAATGAAACGCTTTTTGAGATCAAGGTCGAAAAGGGCAAGGGCGACTTCAGGACCATGTCAACGCACTTTAAGCTCGTCCACGTACCGACAAAGGTTGCCATGTGGACCCACCCCAAGCCATTGCCAGACTGGGCCTATAAGCAGGCTGAAATCAATGGCAACAAGGCGGTTCAACAGTCGAGCAACATCTGGTATGTCGACGACATCCCTTCGCTCCCAGCGGAAGACGAGCGCAACAAGAAAGAACCCAGGAAGGTCAAGCACCTAAGCTTCCTAAGGAAGTGGGTCGAGCTTCAGCGCGCCATGTTCCATCACAACAACGCCTTGACCAGCTCCCATCCGTACTCGTCGCAGCCCATTTCTTGGCCGTTCCTTCTGCGCGGTGTGTCTTTCTGGACCAAGAACGACACTCGTGAGCAAATCTACTTCGTGGGCAACCCGGTCGGGTGGTGGCTTGCTTCTTCACTTCTTGCCGTCTTTGCTGGTATTGTTGGCGCAGACCAGCTGGCTCTCCGCCGTGGCATGGATGCCCTCGATGAGCGTAAGTTGTTTCTCTCGTACAAGAAACCCAGGCTCCTTCATCTAATCAAGTCATTCGTATTGGACGGGGATGTTCTAACATTCTTCTCTACAGGCACCCGCTCTCGTCTTTACAACTCTACTGGCTTCTTCTGCCTCACTTGGGCCGCTCACTACATTCCTTTCTTCATCATGGGACGCCAACTCTTCCTGCACCACTACCTTCCTGCACACCTGGCGTCTTGTCTCGTCACTGGTGCCCTTGTTGAATTCGTCTTTTGTATTGAGCCCCAAGATCCCGAAATGCCAGCTGCTGCCAAGGGCCATCGCCGAACCCGTTCACGCCCAGTTCGTGAGCGTGTTGCCAGCTCGAATCTCCTTGGTAGCTGGATTGCTTCCGGAGTCATTCTTGCCGCTGTTTTCTGGTGCTTCCTCTTCTTCGCGCCGCTCACATACGGCAGTCCCGGTCTCGAAGTTCCTCAAGTCCAGGCAAGGAAGTGGCTCGGATATGACCTTCACTTCGCCAAATAAGTTGCGGATAACTTGTGAGGCGTGAGGGTCGGGGCTTAGGCCCACACACACCTCCTTTTCTTTCTATCTTTCTTTCTCTTTCACTAGGGTCAAATGGTGCACATGGTGGTGTGGCTAGAGTGCAGTCCAGGTTTCAAGTGTAATTTATCAGGGGTTTTTTGGGGGCCTTTTTGGCCGCGCGCAACTGAAGGGGGGGAGTTGCCATAGACACGCTACTCAAGCTCTTTCCTTTATGTCCAAACATACACACGAAATGGCAGGATGGCGAGAATAAAAAAACATAACATTGCTGCCCCAAGCACCAATGGGAAAGGCAATCTACAATGCAGTTGAATCGTCTGCTCAAAAAATCTCATACTATGTATCTTGTCCTGACCGGATTTAGTTTTTTGTTTTTCGGCCAGGTTAAAATCATCTATTATCTACACAATACCACCATGCAGTTTCCACACACAATCCGTGCCGACTTGCACAGTTCGGGTGCCAAAGCAGCAGCTATCGCCCAGCTCCCCTTCGCTCCACTCCTCTATTTGTGGGAGCTTGACCTTGCGTTGCAGCAGCCAGTCATTTGCGCGTTTCTTGTTTTCAAGTTCTCGTTTTTGCATGCCGCCACCAGTAGCAGCACGCTGAGCGGTATGGAGGTCAGACTCAAAACTCAAACTCGCCGCGAAAACGGTCGACGTCCATGCCGGGCCCGACAATGTCTGACAAGTCTCTTCTGCCCATTTGACCAAAGACTCGCCGTAGTGTGTCGTAGAGGTTTGTGCTCTGGTTCTGGTGGATCATGTTGTCCAGCTGGCTGTCGGATACGCCTTCGCCGACGACTTCCCTCGCCTTTTCTTTGCCTTCGCGCTCTACCACCTTGTGCATGGCCAGAGCGCCGAGCAGGTGCTGGGCTGCCTCGTGGTAGCAGCCAATGTTGATACATGACACGCCCAGGTTGTAGCGAGCACGTACAAAGTTTGGACGGAGGGCGAGGGCACGCGAATACGCATCGATGGCCTCTTCGCTTCGTCCAGAGTTTGCCAGGGTGGCACCGAGACGGTTCCAGAGGAGATGGACCTGTGATGAGGAGTTCGAGACACCCGATTCTGTGGATGCGAGTGCGGCGCCGAAACAATCAACCGCCTTGTCGTACTCTTCAACGCCGTAGAACAAGACGCCCAAACCGACCTGTACATCCGGGTCCATTTGCTCGCCAGTAGGTGACAATTGTGCAGCTTGAATGAACAGATTGGTCACCTTCTCGTGGAGTAAGTGGCGGTCCGTGAAGCCCAATTCGGCGTCGGAGGAGAGCGGTTCCTTGATCAGCGAGGGATACTTTGTTGCTAGCCAGCGTTCCAGGGTCCTGTATGCGGTGCTCTCGTAGCCTTCGTTTGTGTACGATACGGCTAGGCCCATCAAGGCCTCTAGGTTCGAGGGGTCCTGTTTCAATGCATGTTCCAGCGCCCGGATAGCAGGTGTTTCTTTCTCGTTCTGTGCTTGTGCCTCGCCCAATCTCACCCAAGCTGCAATGTGGTTTGGATCCTTCTGGACAGCTGCCTCGAATGCCAGTGCGGCCAAAGACAAGTTGCCACCTTCTTCCATGATTTTGACTCCCTCCTCAAACGGGTTTGTAACGTTCTTGAAAAGGTTCTCCTGCTCAAACAGGTAGTCGCCCATGCTAGGATCGCGAACTGGATGTGTGTTCAGTCCGTCAAAGCCCTCCCACTGATCGAGTTCGCCTATGTGTCCTTCAACGAATCTCTCCTCGTTGGCAAGTTGTCTAGCGTGTTCAGTCTCAGCTTGGATTCCCTTCCAAATGGACTCGAAATCGTCGAAGTCAACGGCGTCTTTCTCTACTGACCTGTCCATTTCGTTAAGCTCAGCCTCCATAGCCTTGTTGGCTTCTTCATCAAGTGCTTCCAGATTCTGTTGGTCGGTCTGTTCCAGCTGAGCAAACTGAGCCTCCCAGTCATGGTCGTCGAGCTCGACCATACGTCCTTTGCCCTTGCCCGAGTCTTGCATGGGCTGCTGGAAGTTTTGTGGTGCAAATGGTTGCTGCATCATGCCCATACCCATGCCCATCCCCATACCGCCCATCCCCATGCCCATGCCGTACATGGGCTGCTGGTATCCCGTCATGGAAGGTTGCGAGGCGGTTGTGGCGTTTGCGTTCTGGGCCGTGGGGTTCATTTGCTGGAACTTTGCGAACTCGGCAGGGTTGAAGCCTGCAGGTCTTTCTTGCATAGCTGGGCCCATTTGGGGCGCCTGCATGCCCGGATCGAACTCTGCTGCCCAAGCGGGCGATCCGCTTTGCTGCACTCGCTCCAGCTCTCTGCGCATCTGCTCCATGGCGAAAGGCGATGCAGGTCCGGGCCCTTGCGGGAGCTGCATATTCTGGTTCATGAACTCGTTCATCATCTACAGGCCGTCTCGTTAGCCGTGACTTGCTGGTCTGCTGGACATGCTCGGCATGCACTGTCGCTGACTTACGCCGTCCGAAGGGCCGCCCATCTGCTGGCTTCGCATGCCCTCTTGCATGCCCCCAGGCCCGCGCCCGACCAGGCGATCTCGCTGCAGAGACTTGTCATCTTGTACATGCTTAGTAAACTGGCTGAGCGGGTTGGCGCCCGTCGAGCATTCTGCGCCACCGAGGAAGGACATTGGGAAATCTAAAAGAAGTGGACCGTAGACAAGGAAACAAGGAGATAGATGCGATTGGAAGAGGACAAAGGGAGTATGGGTACAAGTAAGGTTGGGGGGCGTGGGTGGATGGGCAACACACGCGTCGAGTAATTGATCAGCAGCAGACGGCGAGTGGAGGCGGTACGCGGGGCAAGCCGAGGTCGCAGCAGACGCTACACGCTGTCCGCCGAGCAGAGCAGCCGAATCACATGACCTACCTCCAGCCTCTACGTTGGTGCAAAAGCGATACCATGCATTGGTAAGAGGTTCATTGTAGATGTGAGAGACATATTGATTCCTCCACCCCATACCATATACGTGTACAAAAGAAGAGGGGAATGACAACGCCGGACGCTCTTCACTATGATACAAGCGGCCTGCCTATTAACACAAAGGCACAGCCAACCGCAACGCGGGCTCCGGTCATACAAATCGTACAAAGAGGCCCACTCCCCCTTCCCTAGTGTTCGTCCATCATTCCTCGTCGAAATGTGAGGCAGTATTCTGACAAAAATTTTTCTTCTTCTCCTACAGTCCGTCTTGGGCAATCTGCATCTTCTCTACTCTTGGGCCGAGTCCTCACGCTTCTCACGCTGCTGTGTTGTACCGGAGTTGCTGAAGTCCACGCGCAGCTGCCTTCCATAGATGATCTTCTGCTTCAAAATCTCCCTAGCACGGGTGGCGCTGGCTACATCGATGAAGTCTGCGTGGGCAAAGCCTCGCGGTTGGCCAGTTCTCCTGTCAATAGCAACCCGTACGTCCATGACGTTGCGAATGTCGCGGAAGAGGTCGTTGAGATCTTTGTCTGACATTTCGAACGACATGTTGCCAATGAACAGAGTCTTGGATGGAGGGCTGGGATCCAGCTTGCTGTTGACGCCACGGCTCAACGTAGGATACCTGGGCTGGTGGAATTGGACAACAAGGTTGCGGCCTTCAAAGACTTGCATGTCGAGAGAATCAATAGCAGCCTTTGCATCATCAACGCTGCCGAATTCGACATATGCGAATCTGGGCAAGACAGTTAGCGCATGTTGAACGGTTTTGTGGGGGACGTAGGATATTACCCTCTGCTCAGACCGCGGTTGTCATAGACCATCTTGACATTGGCGATTTCTCCAAAGCGAGAAAAGACACGCCTCAGCTGTTCTTCAGTGACCTCGTAGTAAAGGTTGCCAACGTAAAGCGTGGAGTTTGGCTCAGTGTTTCTGGCTCTGCCTTTTTGCACCCTCTGGCGACCGTCAGTGGGCTGGGCAGCGGACTGGGCGGCAGCCTCCAATGCATCTCCCCCAACAGCCGCAGCCCTGTTGGTGGGCTCTGCCTGTGCTTCCTCTTGTGCTGATGTCAGGTTTTCTTCAACGGGTGCCTCTGCCGCAGTCTGGGCAAAGTTGTCGGGGGCATCAGCCGCAGCAGCCTGAGTGGTCTCGGTCGACACGTCGTCGCTGGCAAACCTCCGTTGGAAGGAAGCGACAGACCATTGCTGCTGCTTTGAGCGGAATGCTGAAGGCGTGAGAGTGTTGATGGATCGCGGCTGTGCGAAGAAGGCCTTGGAGGGCGAGGCGCTGATAGCGCGGACAGCAGTACGGCGAAGAAGGAACCTGTGCGGAGAATGAGCATGCGTGGTCAATTGGTGGTATGCGGGCACCTACATGGTGGCAATTGGACAGAAGTGGGCAATTGTGACTTTTTCAAAATGTCAAAGTCGAGATGCGGGAAATTTTTGGCGGTTCATGGTAGGCCCGCGCTAGGCCTGGGGCACGTGACCGGACACCACCACAGACCCGTGGACAGACAGGCCTGCGGGGGGGAAATTGGCGGCGACGCGTCATGCAGGGCGGCCAACTGCTCGTGCTAATGCTCCAACCATAGCCGTGCATGCGGATACATGTACGCACACCTAGAGCGACCGACAGCACGGCGGTAGTCTGGCAGGCAACCCGGGCACTTGAAGAGGGCGGCGGCGCACGAGTACGTGTCGCGGGGTGAGGCCAGGATGACTGACTCGCTATGGCTCAGTTTTCCCTGCCGACAGCAGCGCAAGGCCGAGGGTGAGGGGCCTAGTGAGGACATAGGTTTCCCCGAATGAAGCATTGCTGCTGGCGACTCCAATATCTTACCCGCTCTGACATTGCGTGTTGCTACTGGCGAGAAGGTGCCAGGAGCATGCATGCCATGCGCGCGTCCTCGAATCATGCGCGAGGGCAAGGCGATTGGGCGGCCGGGCCCGTCCGCAGCATTTGTCTTGCTGGTGGGTCTGAGTCTGGTCCAAAAGTCTCTCTTCGCTCCAGCAGCCACCACGACCACCTCCCCGCAACACCATGTTGAAAGGTAGCACTCGCCAATCTCTCTGTAGCATGCACCGCAGTACTGATGTGTCCGTCTTGTAGGCGCTTTCTCTGCCGACGCCGATGCCTCGCCCGACTTTGGCCCTGCCCACGACGACCACATGCTTTCGTCGGAAGAGGACGAGCTCGACCTAGATGACGACGACAGCGGGCGCACAAACGTCGAGAGCGATGCCACTTCGGCGGCCCAGAAGGCTGCTGGCTCCGCTGTCGACGAGGATGGCAGTGGCATGCTCCCCCGCGACAAGCAGCGGCGCACCGCCTTCTACGACTACACTGCCGAGAAGCAGATGAGCCACACCGAGGCCAAGCAGTTCTATCAGAGGCATCAGCTCGAGACGCAGTACGGAGGCTCCCAGGGCGACATGCACAGCCCTGCCATGCGCGCAAAGACATTTCCTGCAAACTACGGTGCCGCCGATGGCGTCGACTTCCTGAGCAGGGCTGAGAGTACGCGCTCGCGAAAAAGCAATGTCAGTCATGCAAATCAAGGGCTCCAGCGGCCCTACCTGCCCATCGGGTCGTCGCACGCAGAGCAGTCACAAGAGCCTCGTCGACACCTGACTCAACAAACCTCCCACCCCACGGGTCTGTACGACGACATCGACGCTCTCCTCCATGCTGATCAGCAGGCCCGAGCCCATGGCCAACACCCCAACCTTCCTCACGAACACAAACCTCTCCTGGCTGAACAAGGCATTCACGGAGCAGGCGCAGGCATAGGTGTTGGCACAGGCGCAGGAGGGTTTGCCATGTCGGATTCGAGCATCACCGCCGAGCTCAGCGCCATCTACGCAAACATCCAAAAGGTTCTCGATTTGCGCCACAAGTACATTCGCTTGTCCTTGCAACGCGCCTTTGATAATCCCAAAGACGATTCAGCTTGGCGCATATACCCCTCGCCTCCAGAGCCTGTGTGGAATGACACTTCCAAAGAGCGTCGCAATGCGGGCGCGACTAGCATGCAAAACAGTGGTGTTCTGGAGCCAAATGAGCAGCCCAAACCGCCTCGCAAAATGGGCACAAACATTGGCGAAGATTTCCACTTGGAAGACTGCCTCCCGGTGCCTGGTCCTAGCGAAATGTTGTTCCGACTGGACGATAGCGGTGTATTCCAAGTATATGAGACGGCCGAGTCTGCAGAGCTAGACACCCCCATTGTGGCAATCCCCACACTGCGCGAGTTTTACATCGACCTTGACTCGATACTCGACATATCATCTGATGGGCCCAGCAAAAGCTTCGCGTTTCGCCGCTTGCAGTACCTGGAAGGAAAGTTCAACCTCTACTATTTGCTAAACGAGTATCAAGAGACAGCCGATACCAAAAAGGTGCCCCACAGGGACTTTTACAATGTGCGAAAGGTCGACACGCACGTGCACCACTCGGCATGCATGAACCAGAAGCATCTGCTACGCTTCATCAAGTCCAAGATGAAGAAGTCTCCTGACGAAGTCGTCCTTTACCGTGATGGCAAACACCTCACGCTGAGGGAAGTGTTTGAATCCATCAACTTGACGGCATACGATCTGAGTATTGATACACTGGATATGCATGTAAGTACCGACTTTGGACATTGTCTGTGCCATGCTAACCATGCAGGCCCACACGGATTCCTTCCATCGCTTCGACAAATTCAACTTGAAGTACAACCCCATTGGAGAATCTCGCCTGCGAACCATCTTTTTGAAAACAGACAATTTTGTCAAGGGCCGCTATCTAGCTGAAATCACCAAGGAAGTCATCTCCGATCTCGAGGCAAGCAAGTATCAATTCGTAGAATGGCGCATCTCCATTTACGGTCGAGACATTGATGAGTGGGACAAGCTCGCAGCTTGGGTTGTTGACAACAAACTCTTTTCCCCCAACGTGCGATGGCTCATTCAAGTACCACGCTTGTTCGATGTGTACAAGGCAACTGGTTTGATGGACAATTTCCAGCAAGTCATTGTAAACGTCTTCCAGCCTTTGTTCGAGGTGACCAAAGACCCTACAAGCCACCCCAAGCTCCACATCTTCTTGCAGAGGGTCATTGGCTTCGATAGCGTCGATGACGAAAGCAAGATTGAGCGGCGCGTGCACAGGAAGTTTCCACTTCCAAGCCAGTGGTCCACAAAGCAGAACCCGCCGTATAGCTACTATGTGTACTACTTGTTTGCGAACATGTCATCGCTTAACGTCTGGAGAAAGCAGCGCGGATTCAACACGTTTCTCCTGCGCCCGCACTGTGGTGAGGCTGGTGATCCCGATCATTTGGCTTCAGCTGTGCTTTGCTGCCACAGCATCAGCCACGGTCTTTCGCTTCGAAAGGTGCCTTTTCTTCAATACATCTTCTACCTTGAGCAGATTGGTGTGGCAATGTCGCCTCTGAGCAACAACGCACTCTTCCTGGCGTATGAGCGGAACCCGTTCATGAGCTACTTCAGGCGAGGTCTGAATGTCTCGCTCTCAACAGACGATCCCCTGCAGTTCGCCTTCACCAAGGAGCCTCTAATCGAAGAGTATTCCGTGGCTGCGCAGATCTACAAGTTGAGTGCTGTGGATATGTGTGAATTGGCCAAGCATTCAGTCGAGCAGAGTGGCTTCGAGCATGTAGTCAAGCAGAAGTGGCTGGGTGCTAACTACCATCTCCCCGGTGTTGCGGGTAACGACATGGCCCGATCCAACGTGCCCAGTATTCGCGAGGCATTCCGACACGAGACGCTTATGGGCGAGCTAGCCATGTAAGTCGTGCAGCTTGGATTCCGTGGCGTCAAGCTACACAGCAAAGATCCATGGAAACATGACCCAAACTATACACCCATACTAACGCGGCCACAGGATCGATCGTTACACGCGCGCAGCCCAGTCTGAGAGGCAGGATCTCACCAGCTCCAACCTGCAGTCGGAAGTACCCCAGACACCCAAGACGTTCCAAGGCGTCACGCCTGCGTCTCCGACAAACAACGCCTCGCCCGCTGGTAGCAAGCAGGTCTTCTCGAAGCTGCCGCCAGCGCAAATCGCGCGCCTCAAGCCCTCGGGCTCCACGGCCGATAGCACAAACGTCACGCAGCCCGCGTCGCCAACTAGCGCCCACGACGGCAGCAATATCGAGCTGCCCCTCCGCCCCTCCAATCCCAACACTACATCTGTGGCGCAGCCTTCCGACGGCCAGGCTCAGCACGCCGCCGAAGAGCCGGAAATGGGCCTTACGCGCTCGACGAGTAGTGTTACGCTCGACGGCGAGCCCAGGCTGTTCCCCGGCGCCATGAGCAGTCTCAGCAGGAGACGCAGCACTAGGACTAGCCAGGCCGAGGACGGCGGCGACACGACGAGTTCGCGCTTGAGGTTCCAGAAGGGCGATACAGAGGGCGTCATGGAAGAGAGGGATACGGATGATGAAGAGAATTGAAATTTCCAGGGAAAAAAAACTCAGGGGTTGGTGATGATGATGATGATGATGATGATGATGATGAAATTATGAAGTTTTGAGGGGGTTGTTGCTAGACGAGTGTGCATGGGTGAATATGTGTGTGTATGCGTGTGTAATGGGGGTGGGGGTATATTTTTTGTTCATGCTGGAAGATGAATAACAGGACCTCCTTCTATCTCTCTCTCTTTGTGTGTATGTATGTGTCTCTCTCTCTTTTCAAAGATTTCGGGTAAAATCCAAAGAGCCATTTATCCGTGTATTTACATGGAAAATCCTCGTTTGTCTACTGCATACATGGGGAAACAATGCCAGATCATGTCGCAGTTCCCCTGTGGAGGGTTTCCATCCAGCCTTTTCCCGTCGTGCCTGATCCGATGAGTGAGTGATTTACTCCAAACAGCTCGTATACGGTGGAACTCTGTCCGTGTACTACTGTACTATTACATTGCACAAAAAAAGGGGGGAGGGGGAGGGAGATGAGAGAGAAACACGGAAAGACGTGATATGTGTGTGTGTGTGTGTATACTGCGGGAGCGGGATAAATAAGATGACGATGGCGATGATGATGATGATGATGATGAGATAAGACCCCAAAAAACCCAGAATAAAAAAGGGGGGAGGGGGTAGGAAAAAGTTAGAAGAAAAAAGAAAAAAGGGGGGGAAAGGAAGAAAGAAAAAACGCCGGTGAAAGATGCAAGATGAAAAAAAAAGAGGCTTCGCTGCATACATGATACTGGGGATCCGCAGAACAAGAAAGAGACTTGAACAGAGAGAAGGAAAAGAAAAGAAAAGAAAAGAAGTTAGCCCTAAGAAAGACACTAATCGTTCGCACCGGAGCTCCCAGGAAAAAGGATAAAAAAGAAAAAAAAGAAAAAAAGCCTCCCCAGAAAAAAAGAGTCCAATCATGAATTGATACTGCGAGAATAACAGTCCAAACACCAAGCATCGCCGTCCTCGCCCACCTCGACAATACACTTTTTGCAAGTGGCCTTGTCGCAAGCGACGCACTGGCGGGCGCAGATGAAGCAAGTGCGGCCTTGGCATCGAGTGCAATCCAAGTAATTTTCCAGATCCTTCTTGCGCTTGGGCGCCTTGTTGCAGGCATGGCATGAGCGCAGGTCCGATACGGCACGGGAATCGCAGACGGGCGGAGCATCGATGTCGACGTCCATGAGGTGAGATGTGGATTTGACGAGGGCGGCTTTGGGGGGGCTGAGCCGTTTGAGTTGCTTGACGGGGCGCCTGTCAGACGGGCAGTCGTGGTGCCTCGAGGGCGCAACGGCATACGGGAGGTTGTTGGTGTCGTTGTTGGGATCGAAGGGCGGCGGGGTACGACTGCTGCTGCTGCTGCTTCCAGAAACGTGTGGGCGAGTGGTTTCTCGGCTCAGCGATGCGCGATGCTGACGTGGGATGTGGTGGTTGCTGGAGAGGGCGAAGTTAATGTTGTGGACTTGTGCAAGTGAGGCGGAGCCGTGGTCATCATACATGTGTGGTGTGTCGTCGTTTGCTGGTCGCTTTCTCTTGCCCAGGCTGGCGGCGGCGGCGGCGGCGGGGGGCTGTTCGTGGGACATGGTGTGCCAGTAGTTTGGGGGGCGGTCTTGCTGCCACTCGTGTGTGGTACTGGGGCCAAAAAGGTCAGAGGTGATGTAGACCATGGCGGTAGCGGCGGCGGCAGCGGCGGCTTCACGGCGACGAGTGGAGGAGCAGTGGGCGGCCTCGAGAGACGACGGAGATATGTAGCCTGGGGGCGCGTGCAGTGGAGCTGACGATGCGAGGAAGGAAACCCGGGGGGGGGGGGGGCCAAGACTGCACAGATGGCGTGTCGACCGGGACGAGATGGTGGGGGGAGGGGTGAGGGGGGAGGGGGGAGGGGTGTGCGTGTAGATGTTGTTGGACGACAACAACAGCGACGACGAAGACGTTCTCGAAGCAGGCTTGACTTGTTGTGGCGGGCCGTGGGATCAAGGCCATGCTCGGCGTACCTGACTAGCGGCAGAGGCCAGGCAAATCAGACAGGGGTCCGGGCCAACCCCCACGACGCGCTTCACGTGTTGCCAAGCCCCAAATGCTCACCCTCGACTAGACGCGACGGCGACCAACAACGGGCGACGACAACAACCACGACGACGCCATTCACCACGATTAGCGCTCGTATCCAGAAACTCTCTCCTGGCACTCCGGCCCCCCCGTATCATGTCCAGCGCATCTGGGTGATTGGCATGAGATCGCCAGCTCCGCAGCACTAGGCACCGCTCCCCCACACTCTCTCCTAGATCCTCTGCATTGCACGCTGGAAGCTGGAGAGCAGCAGCAGCCGCCATGGACAGCGTCAATGTCTCTGAACTGGTGGCGCGCCTCGGCGCCGAGGAGGAGTCTGTTCGCAAAATGGCTGTCTTCAAACTGCAGAATGCCATCGGCGACCCGTCATTTGCCGATGTCTTCATCTACGAAGGGGGCTTACCCAAGCTGAGGTTCCTGGCACTGCACTCCAACGGGAACACACTGGCCTACTGTCTCACTTCTCTGGCGCGGCTGCTGGAGTTGGACAAAGGATGGGACCATGTCACGGACGACTTGGTGGCAAGAGTAAGTCAGGGGTGGGGGAAGGGGAACGGGCTTTGGCTTCGATGAGTATACAACTAATTTGCAACAACAGATCGTCGACCTCGTTGTCGCGCAGCCACTCGTCAACGTCAACCGAGGCGCAATGTCCGTCCTCGCAGTCATTGTCGGCCATCCCTCGCACCGCAATCTCCAAACTGGCGACACGGGCTTCCGGCGCCTCAAGCCCGCAGTCGACGCCCAGCCCCAGTTCCTGTCGTCGCTGGTTGAGAAGATTACGTCGGCCGACCATGCACTCTGCGCCAGCTCGCTCCAGCTCATCAATGCCCTCATGCGCGACGCCATTGCCAACGACGCTGCATTTGAATGGCCCAAATTCGTAAAGCAACTGCAGGAGCTGGGCGTGATTAAGAGTGTGTATGGGCTCATGCAGAGTACGGCGATACAGGACCTCGCGCATCCGCTACTGGACTTTCAATCCTTGACCAAGACACTTTTGCGAAATTGGAGGGAAGAAAAGGTTGATCTGGAGAACCCGGATCACCGAAGGGCAATTCGCGGTCTGCACACGGCGAGCCAGCCCGAAAAGTCATCGTCAGAGTCCAAGTCCAAGGGGAGCGTGAGAGACCACCCCGACAAATGGAGCCGATTGGGGTTCGAGACGGAATCGCCAGCGTGGGAGTTTAATGCGACTGGATTCCTGGGGCTGATGGACATTACCGACTTTGTGTACAAGAATGAAGATGGGTTCCAGAAGCTGCTGCTGGAGCAGTCGGCACAGCCCCCTGAGCAGCGGTGCCCGATTGCCCGTGCCAGTCTTTCCGTGACACAGACGCTGTATGAGCACTTTGAAGTGGAAAAGCTGGATGATGTCGAGGCACTGCGCCACACGGATTCGCGGGCCAACTTTGATCGAGCCTTCAAGCCGCTGTTGCTGCATTGGTCTAGATTGCACACGGGCGGGCTGAACGCCTTTATCCGGCTCTGGAAGGCAGCCGGGGCGCAACGGGAAGACTTTGAAAAGATTGAGGAGCTGGTGCGCATCTTGGTCGAGCAGGTGGTTGGGCAGGCGCCACGCACAAAGGACATCAAAGACATTGAAGAGGAACTGGGGCAGTTTGAGCTCAAGCGGCTCCGAGAGCTTCAGATGGAGGTGCTGGAACTGACGTATGAAGATGCTTGGGGCCATCACCTGCGGTATGCAGTTTGCGTGTGTTTGATTCTAGGGGGGGCAACTAAGGCTAACTGTGGACAAGGCAAGTTCGCGATGAGCTCAATCACGAGGCGCTGCAGTTTGTCAAGGAGCAGCGTATAAGATGCCTGCTGCAGGGCGCATGGTTCCCGACGGGCGTCGACTTTGGCACACAGCCCGGGGCAGTTGGCGGTAACCGTTCTGTGCCATCGGCGGGGCGCTTTGTTCGGCTGTCACACAACCGACGATATCTGCACTATGCAGACTTTGACGAAAAGATGGGCATGGAGCCGAAATTAGACGCACTGCAGGACAAGAGTAAGTAGCAAGCGGTGGGGGAGGGGATTGTTGGCATGTGTTTAGGTTATCGCCGTGGCTGACGCACATGAACAGTCGATCTCTCCATTGTATCGTCGGTGGTGAGCAATGTCTCGGCGTCGGCCCCGTCGACAGCATCATCTGACGATACAGTTCGGACGTTGCCGGGGCAAGAACGGGCGTCAACGTCAACTAAGATCACGATCCACGGCTACGTGCCGGTATCTAGTCATTCGCGGCAAGCTTCCAGCGGGTCCGGGGCAGGGCGACGAGAAAGCGTGCTGCTGCAGCTGTATCCTCAGAGCCACACGCTGGCTTCCGAGTGGCTTGACGGGCTGCTGATGCTGCTCAACCAGCAGCCGATTACGGCGAATACGAACAAGCTCGTGACGTTCATCGGCGGGTACGGGCTCAAGATCCGGCTGCTCAATGTGCGGTACGAGGACGTGGGGCTGGAGGAGCCTGTTCTGCCGAGCCGAGAAGGGCTGGAGGATGAGTACTACTGTGAGTTGTGTGCGCTTGGTGTTGGTGGGGGTTGGTGTCGAGGTTATACTGACGTGTCACGTGCAGATGACATTACGGGGGCCTGAGGCCAAAGGCGACATTGACATGGCGACGCACGGACAAGGGCGGTTGACAAGCTTGCGGGCGCAGCATGTTGGGGCAAGCTACGAGGCAGCGGCTAAGGGCTAATAAAGCTTCTGCATGGGCGACTTGGCAGAGGCAGCGGGGTATGAGCCGAGGGATTTGAGTGCTGGGACGGCAGGTATTGGGTGTTGGGGCGGAGGGGAGGCGGAGGGTTTCGGGGGATTTGGTAAGCGGAGCAGAGTGCATTGGTGGTTGATTGGCGGTGGTAGGCGCATGTCTTTTGATACCCATGGTTGTGCAGGTTGGATAGAATCGAGCGAGCCATTCAGCCTAGGAGTAGAGGGCATCGGCATGGGGGCCGAGCAGCAAGGGCATAGCAACCGTGATGTCGTGGCATGCGGGCGACGTGGTACAGGCGATATTGGGTGGAACAGCGGGCGTGGAGTGTACAGGATGCAAGGCAGCGGCAGCGGCAGCAGCAGCAGCAGCAGCAGCGTGAGAGGGCCAGGCGATGGGCGGGCGGACCGGTCAGCACGCAATATTCCAGAAGAAAACAAAAAAGCCATGGAGCGATGAGGCGTCGGCGTCAGCCATGGCGGCGGCGGCGGAGGTGGTGGTGGTGGTGGTGGTGGTGGAGGTGGATCCCATGGACCGGGTAACAGCATCTGATGCGGTGTGTCGCAGCCTAGGCCAGTGGGTGGGACCCGCCGCCGGCCTGTTCCTGGAGGCCACACCAGCACCAGCACACCCACACGGGCCTGAAACAGCACACGCCAAGCTGGAGCAGAAGCGGGGAGGCGCTGGCATACCGCCGTCGAACCACACGACAGGCACAGGCTGGGCGCGCATGGACCGACGACGGCTCTAACTCGTACAGTAATACTGGTGCTGTGCTGGTGCTGGGCTGGTGCTGGGCTGGTGCTGGGGCCGGGGCGCGAGGGGCGTGGTGCGGGGCGGGCGGTGCGTGGGTGCGTGGATGCGTGGGTGAGGTGAGGTGAGGTGAGGTGAGAGAATGGGGAATAGCGAGGGGCCAGACGGAGACAGAGACGGAGAGAGAGACAAGAAATGCTACGCTATGCTACGTACCAAGTCCGATGCCGTCGCAGCTGCTGCTACGCTGGCCTACGACTAGCTCGCTGCACGCACATGTGGCATTCCGTCAACGAATATGCACCCGCCGCTCCGGGCTGCCGTCGGTGCTAACTAACGTCCCCAACTGGCCCACACGTTTGTCTGCGCGGCTTAACTCGACTCTGCTCTACTTACTTACTTGCTCTATTACTCTGTCCTGCCCTGTCCTGTCCTGCCTGTCTGTCTGCCTGTCTGCCCTGCCTCACTCCACTATTCCCACCACCACCACCCCCCAACAACCACATCAACCTGTCAGTCCGCACAAGGCACTCGGCCACTCGCTCGCCCGCCTCGCTCATCCACACACACACACACACACACACACACACACACGCACCCACGACACGCGCCCTCGCTGCATGTGACTTTGCGTGCTTGGGTCACATTCCACCACTGCGCCATCGTCGCCTCCACATACCAAGCCCACGCCATGAAGAGCAAACATAGAGGCTCGTCTCTGCCTCTCCAACAGGCCGAGTTCGACGCCCTTCCCGATTCGGTCCAGTAAGTCCATGTGGCGCCTCTGATTTGCCCGCGCGTGTGATAGGGGCGCAGCTGTCACGTGCAGGTCCCGACTTCCCCCCACCATGAGTCGCTGTACCTCGCTGTACCTTGCAGCTGCGCCAGACCACTTTCCAATTATTAACCATGCACTCGCTAATCCGTCGGCGTCTAGGAGAAAGTACTTTTCCTCCCTCGAACGCCTGCAGATCCAGCACCAGGCCTCGGACGACTCTACATCGTCAGGCCGCTCCTCGCTGACCTCGCCCTCCAAACTCCACCGGCCCTCGCTGTCCCTGGCCACGGCTCGACGCAGGCGCAAGCTGGAAAAGGCTGTCCACGGCCACCACATTCCCTATCCCGACGTCGACTTCTTCTTCTCGCTGCCCGAAAAAGTCCGCAAACAGCTGTTTTCGCGCGACGAGCAGTTGCTGCTGCACGCCTGGCGCGACCACGCCCTCATCCCCCCGCAAGACTCAGAGGCCCAGTGGGCGCAGCAGCGATTCGACGACTTTCACTTTGGCTTTTCCGAATCGCCCGCCTGCGACTTTGCTCGGCGCAGACGCTCACATAGACCCCTATCCTCCTCATCGGCGGCAGACAGCCCTCTCTGTGGACCGAGCGGCCTCTTTGCGGCCGAAGAAAAGAATCCGGACAAGTCCACGCCTCCTTTCCGTCTGCACAACATGGCCTCTCCTCCTATCTTCACCCGACAAGTCCCTGCTGACATGAGACGAACAATGTCTCTCACCACCCATCCTATTCGCCCTGCACCCTCGCCGGCACTATCCGACGCTCCATTTTTCGCCGCCAGATATCATCAACGCTCACATTCCACCTCCCTCTCGGGCCGCACTGCTGCTGCATTCCACACGCCCTTTGCCCCCATCTTCGACCCCGAGGCCACGCACTACCAGGACCCCGAGGCACGAAAGAAGCTGCGCATGTACCTGGCCTCTCCCCAGAAGTTCGACGAAGCCATCGAGTTTGGATTTCCATCGTCAGCCGGACACGACACGGCTACGCCGCACTACCATTTGCCACAGATCGACACGCATGCCTGCAAATTTAGCCGAGACATGCATACCTTTCTCAAGCACGGCCAACTATCCTTCTTGGAGGACGGCATTCACGACAATCAGGGCCTGGAGTCCGATGCCGACTCTCTTGCCGACATGGATTCCCCAGCTACACCCTCCAGCACCGGTCTATCGTTTCGTCTACACTCTCGCCAGGCTTCGTATCGTCACTTTTCCCTCGACTCGCCTGCCCCCTCCCCTGCCCTCTCGGCAAACGGGCAACTGAACCGAGAAATGACTTTACGGATGACCCTGACCCGGCCCGATCTTCGCGCTGACGAGGACCAGCTATACGGTTGGCAAAACGCCACATCCAATCCCAAAGGCTGCAAAGACGATCCTTTAGCCCTAGAAGATCTAGTCTTTACCGACGACATGACAGGCACCAAAGGTGCTTTCTACATCAAGCCTAAACAACGCGGAAACCTGGTGAGCCGATTATTGAAGCGCGCCAGTCTCAAATCTCGCTGAGAGAGTGTGTGAGAGAGAGAAAGCCCTTGTCTTCACTACCAACCGGCCCTTGTGGCCCCGATTTAATCTACTTTGCCATGTTTTATTATCCCTTTTTAATAGACCGAACAGGTCTGCCGCGTTTCAGCGGGCGTTTTTGATTTAGTTCGACAAGACCTATTGGTTTCTGGGTACCAGATTGTACGATTATTACGATGCACGAAACGACTCAGACGCATGAATGAGGCGTTTTTTTTCTTCTACGCCTAACGCAGGTACCCTGTCGACTTGGCTAGCGAGGCTTGTCAAAAACGATATCCGTCCGACGCGTCCATATCGGGATGGTTGGCCCCAAGAAGATCAGATTGCGCCTGGTCTCTAAACGGCCATTGTCACACGTTACCTGTTTATTTTGTCCATGGAAGCGCCTCTATTGGCAATAAAGTTTACCCGCCACTACAACAGAAATGTTCCGCCAAGATTCAAGACCAAAGCTTTTTTGCTTTTCTTTTTCCTTTTACAAATCACTATTATCTTGCGCTTTGCCCATGACTAGCTGTCCGTTCGGAATTTGGCGACAGCCGTCGGGGATAATCACTAGTACAGTAAGTAGCGACAAGCAACACCCACGCATCATTAGCTCTGGCTCCAGGATTTTTGTGTTCGAACTAGAAAAAACGCAGCACAATCCCGCACAAAGCGGCATCTGGGAGACACACACATAGGTCGATAACGCATGAACTGGCAAAGCAAACAAGGGGGGGGGGATAAAAACCAATATGATTGTCGGTTCAACCACGCGTCATTCTAGCCTTGATTATCTACCACGTGGGAGAGGATCGACATACACAATCGTGCCTCCATGTAACAGCATAGTACTACGCAAAGTTCCATGTAACAGCAGCATACAAGTACTAGATATGTTCAATCTATACAAGAAGAAGAAAAGTCATGCAGCTGCATGAATGTGCGATAGATGCGCAGCCCTTGATGAAAGGCCCGAAATCTTTGAACCAAGACAATCAGAGGACTTGAACTCCGCGCACACTACGACCAGCATACACGTGAAGTCCCGTCAGACAGTCAGTCAGTCAGTCAGCACGTCTGGAGGGGCGTCCCTGCACGCTCACGCCTTCTGTTACATGTCAACGCCACACAGGCCGCACGCGCGAACGGGGCACGGTGCAAGCTAGAAATGAAGGGGACCGGGGGGGGGGTTATGAAACACCCCCAATCCCCTACTTACTTACCTAAACAATATCACCAATCGCCCAATCGCCCAATTGCCCCCCCCTCCCCCCAAGCAATTACCAAGACATAGATAACGCACATGACGATGAAAAACAAAGGGCAAACGCATGAATAATCGCAAAATCCAAGTCTCACACACGTCCAAGTGCCAAGTATACAAGGACTACTTAGTAGTGCTTAGTGCTAGTACAAGTCAAAGTGGGAGGAGAGAGCATGATGAAAAGTAACATAAACCCATCTAGTAAGTCCTAGTAGTACAGACGACTCAGGAACACACACACACACACAACACACAAAAAAAGGACGGACATCGGATGATGAAAAGTAACATAAACCCATCTAGTAAGTCCTAGTAGTACAGACGACTCAGGAACACACACACACACACAACAAAAAAAAAGGACGGACATCGGCACTACTTTTGTTATTGAAAAGAACACACACAAAAAAAGACTACTACAGTACAGTACGTAATTAGTGTATATATACTTAGTTACGTACATAAGCGTCGGCGTCGGAGTCGGTGGAATGGCCCTGTGACGGGAGGGGATGGGCGATGGCGTCATTGAGGGGGGGGGGGGTAATTCCGGTGGGTGGAGGGGCCGGGTGAGAGAGAGGGGGAGGGAGAGAGGAAATGCCTCGTTAGTCGGCTGAATAGGTGTGTTGGTGTGTGGTGTGTGGCTACATGTCACAGGACCTGTGTGTGCGTGTGTGTGTCTGTGTGTCCATGTAGAAACATGGCATGTCGCAATACTTACAAGTTGTCACGACAATCTTATTCTCTCAACTACTACTACTTACTACTTATCTTTGTGGCGCCACACGCGAAGACTTGAAAGTATAATGTGTGTGTGTGTGTCATGTGATGTGATAAATAATCATAATAATAATAATAATAATAATAATAATAATCATAATAATAATAATAATAATAATAATAATAAAAATGATAAAAATGATAATACAGTACTTGGCGTGTACATTGGAGTACAGAGTCGCATACTTAATTAGATATAGTCTGAGCTTAGAGGCATACTTGAAACTAGTTATGCTATATAGGATTGTGTAATATATACTTGTGCTCGTATATATGTATTTATGTATGTATGTATGTATGTATGTATGTATGTATGTATGTCTATGTCTATGTCTATGTAGGATGTGAAGATGACATGTGGGGAGCGAGAGCGAGACGCTGAAACCCTACTTACTTAGCGTATTCGCTCCCCTCTCTCACCCCCTTCGCTCGTTCGCTCGCTTGCCTCGCTTGCCTCGCTCGCCTCACAACATAGCCTCTTCAAACACACATGTTCTCACTACCTTGTTCTATAATAAAAATAAAATAAAAAAAAGAAGCGACGTTACAATAAAGCCATGTGATAATCCAGGACCTGAGACGCGAGACGCAATACGCGAGAAAAGCGAGATGAGATGCACACCTACGTACCCACGTACTCTTCCGTCTGCGGCTCCGTCTGCGGCTCCGTCTGTGTTTCGCGGTAGTGATAGTGGCGTGAGGAAAAGGCGATGAATGGGTGAGTGGGTTTATTCAAATGTTGCTACGTAGTACTCAACAGACATGGTATGCAGGAAAAAGTCAAATGGATGGAGTAATAATACTGAGATGTAAGGGAGGTAAGTAAGTAAGTAAGTAATCATGATATAGTATGGTATAGTATGTATATATATATATATATATATGTGTGTGGGCAATATAGCCAGGGCAGCGACTGACCAATGAAGTAACTGCCTGGGTCTAAGTAGTCGGATTACATGGTTGGTTGTTGCGAGATATAATTATTTGGCTATGAATGGCTACTCTACTCTATTGTATGCTACTCTCCTACAGACCTAGTACATGCAGTTTTCCAAGCCGAACTCCTTGTAAGTATACTTGACTATTTCCCTCTGCATCACCACCGTCATCATCGTTACCATCACCATCGTACTTGAAACACTCCCCCCCACATCCAACAAATACACCCCTCCCCAACGCATTTATCCCCATCTGGCAAGTCCATCCAGCACTCCACGCATATACCATACACACATATATATAGATAAATAACCAAATACATATATGTACAAAAACATGGTATCTGACCGGCCATTCCATAACATTCCCCGTTTCCATTTCTGTTTCAACAAACCGCTCTTTTCTTATTCGGGATATCGGTTACGAGGCGACTTTTTTTTACATGGGTACTTGTATACAATGCATGCACAGACGTAAAGACAAGGGAAGGCTGTGTCTTGTTACACCGTCAGCCAAACGCGTATAATCTGTATGCATAGGCAATAGATACCAACAACAAGGAGGGGATTTACTATGATTTGAGTTTAGCATCACAAAGAAATTGTTTTAGACTTGGTATGCTTTCGGTAAGAAGCGGATGAACATGAGACGCGAGTCATTTGTGACTTGCAGACCGATGCTGCAGACCCCCGGCTCACGTGCAGAAGTTTGATTGCGACAATTCATGCGTTGGATGCAACCACCGTCGCTTAGTTTCACTTGCCAAGTCAGCCATGTTCGCTTTTTCCCCCGAAAAAAAACGGGTTTGTTGTTGTTGTTGTTTTGGAGACGTCAGTGTTTTGTTCATTCCTCGTGGTATTTCTGTTTTCTACACTTTAAAAGACCCCGGCAATGGTTTCACCCCTTGGCTTATCTACCGTGACAACGCAATGTCGTCGATTCGGAGGATCATCTTGACCGTCTCCGCTGCTAGCTCAATGGCGCTGGTGCTGACCAGCAGTGGTTGCAGGACATTCTCCTCGCTAATGTCGTTCTTAACACCTCCACTCTTGATGCTGATTCCGGCGTTCTTCTGATCTTGTGCATGCCTATGTCTCAGCTCTGTAACCACCTTGATGCTATTGAGACCTGCGTTCTCCGCCAACGTTGTGGGGATAACCTCCATGGCATCGGCAAAGGCCTTCCAGCAAATGGCTTCCGTGCCCGAGAGCTCACGCGCCATGATGGATAGCCGGTGAGCAATCTCAATTTCAGGGGCTCCACCACCGGCAAGGAGTGCCTTCTTCTTGACTAACGAGCGGATAGCGCAGTGTGCGTCATGCAGTGATCGCTCCGTTTCATCCAGGATAAGACTATTAGCACCTCGGCAGACAATCGAGACGGTGCTGGCTGCTGTCTTGACACCTGACACCTTGACGTATCGAGCGCCCGATGCCTGCACTTCTTCGACTAGATCAGCTGAGCCGAGCTTGTCTTCTGTAAATGAGTCGATGTCGGCAATGGGCTTGCAGCCGGTGCTCTACTGTGCATTAGCTTGAGTGCGGATCAAGTGCATATGCTACCCACCTTGCAGATGAACTCAATCTCGTCGCGCTCAATGTCCTTGACGACCATGATCTTGAGCTTCGACAAGAAATGCAGACTGAGGTCGTTGACAGCATCGCGCAAAATCGACTTTTGAATAAAGAGAACATTGCACTTGGCTTTCTGGATCTTCTTGACCATGTTCAACAGATATGTTCGCTCCTCCTTGAGGATCTTGTCCATCTGTCGGTAGTCGTTGACGACAATCTGGTTCTCCATGTCTGGCTTCGGCGGGCTCAACTGGAATTGAATGAGACCTATCCGTGCCTTCTCCTTCAATGTGGGTCCACCGGCGCTCTTGACCACTGGCTGGTTGAGAACCAGTCCGTCAATCATCTCACTGTCTTCAATGGTGCCGCCCATCTTCTTGATCATTCGGATATTCTTGAGGTCCACGTTGTCGGCTGTCTTGGGGTCGATGACTTTGAGCACCGAGTCTACCGCCATGATGGGCAGCTTTGGTTCTTGGGCAACAATCTTGGACGAGAGGGCAGTGGTGGCCGTCTTGAGGAGCGTTTGCCTGTCGGTGAGCGAAATGGGAATGGCCATGTCAGTTAAGATGGAGATGGCCTCCTGAGCTGCGCGCTGGAAGGCTTCTGATATGACTGTGGGGTGGATGCCCTTGCCCAACAACCGCTCGGCCGCTGCGAGCAGACTGCCTGCAATGACCACGACTGATGTTGTACCGTCTCCAGCTTCAATGTCTTGGGCGTGTGCGAGGTCTACGAGCATCTTGGCCGACGGGTGCATGACGCTCATCTGGTTCAACATGGTAGCTCCGTCGTTTGTGATGATGGTCTGGCCTTTGCTGGTTTGAATCTGCGGCGAGTCAGCTCTACGACGCTTGAGAGCTTGCGTATAGGCTCATACCATTTTGTCCATTCCCTTTGGTCCCAGCGACTGCGCAAATATTAGTCTGCGTCTCTTCCCCGCACTCGGTGGAGGGACATACAGTTCGGATGGCATCTGCCACGGCTGTCCATGCTGAGTTAGCGGCGAGACTTTGAATGCGGAGACGGCAAATTCGTACCTCTTGCGGCAATAATGTTGGCACTGCGAACCGCCCTGGGCTTCTCCTTGTCCTGTCCTCGCCATCAGTCAATGTTTTCAGAGCTCGCGGTCAAGGCAGCCACACCTTGAAAGCAGCATTTCCGGCACCGCCACCGCCATTGGCAACCTGAGCAGCCATGTTTCGGAGAGTGCAAAGAGAACAAAACTAAAAGGGAGGGATATCGTGGTGGTTTGGCGGGGAAGTTTTGGGTGCCGGGGACGCGAACTGACAAGATTTCGAGAACGCGATACTTAGTCGTAGCGCACTGACAATGCTTAAGCTCCGACTCGCCGGGCCATGGCTGCATCACAGCTGCCACCCACGCCCTGCACTGCTTTACAACCACGATAACCACGCCCACGACAACCACTCCCCTTACCGCATCTCATCCCACAATCGCTCTCGTCATCCGGGCCCGCCAACCTCATCCCTGCGCACACACCGCCCCGCCGCCATCCCGGCCCGACAGTCGCCGCTCTCGCCGCAGCCATGCCTTCAGCAACAGGCCAGTCCTGGGAGAAGTACCAGAAGAACTTTGCCGACGACGAGGTGGAGGAGAAGAAGATCACACCCCTCACCGATGAGTAGGCAACCCGGCGCCCGCCGACTGCCAGAGCGCTGACACTGCGATAGAGACATCCAAGTGCTCAAGACATACGGCGCCGCACCCTATGGCGCCGAGCTCAAGAAGCTTGAGAAGGAGATCAAGGACAAGCAGCAGACGATAAACGAGAAGATTGGAGTCAAGGTAGCCATATCCAGTGCTACTCGTGACGGCCCCCGCTCACTCTGTGCCAGGAATCCGACACCGGCCTCGCGCCTCCACATCTATGGGATATCGCCGCCGACCGCCAACGCATGCAAGAAGAGCAGCCCCTCCAAGTTGCGCGATGCACCAAGATAATACAGGACGAGAAGGACTCGGACAAGAGCAAATATGTCATCAACGTCAAGCAAATCGCCAAGTTTGTCGTCAATCTCGGAGAGCGCGTTTCACCCACGGATATCGAAGAGGGCATGCGCGTGGGTGTTGACCGCAACAAGTACCAGATCCTCCTTCCTCTGCCACCAAAGATAGACCCTTCGGTTACTATGATGACAGTCGAGGATAAGCCCGATGTAACGTACGGAGATGTGGGAGGATGCAAGGAGCAGATCGAGAAGCTACGTGAGGTTGTCGAGATGCCGCTGTTGTCGCCAGAGCGCTTCGTCAACCTTGGTATTGACCCCCCCAAGGGTGCTCTTCTGTACGGCCCACCAGGAACGGGAAAGACGCTCTGCGCGAATTTTCTAGCTAACGTAAAGTTGTATTTCATACTACTTTTATGTCGTGTAGTGTTATAGTTGTGGAGATTACGGACTTTTGTTGATTATACATGTTCTAGATAACGTGGTTCACAAGTGAGTCGCTAACCCAAGCGAGTCGCTAACGCCCCACCAGCCCATCAACTTCATCACTATAACGCGTGATGTCTCAACAACGCAACCGTCTATTAATATATTCTAAATCTAATCTTCAACTTGCTCTTTTTAACGTCCAGTCGCAACGTGTTTAGAGTGTAAACCGTGCTGCTACTATCTACAACGTCCCACAAAGAACTCTATCTGATCAACGCGCTAGAAAGCGCCCTCAACGCGACTGCAAGCCGAAATCGAAGCGTCTAGATAAGCTAGAAGAGGAGGCTATAGTTGAGCGTATTCTTGAAGAGTCTGCGCGAGGATTTGCGCCTACAAAGCTTGACGTTCGAGTAATAGCTGATAAACTATTGGAGGAGCGTGGTGGCAACCCTGTTGGCAAGAACTGGGTTGACAACTTCGTTAAGCGGACTCCTGAGCTCCGTACGCGCTAGAGCCGTCCCTATGATCACCAGCGAGCCGCCTGCGAGGATCCAGTGGCTATCCAGCGCTGGTTCGACTTAGTCCAGGCGACAAGGCAGAAGTGGGGTATTGTGGACGACGATATCTACAACTTTAACGAGACTGGCTTTATAATAGGCAAGATTTTATCACAGTTAGTTATCACAGCATTAGAAGGATATGGGAAAAAGAAGCGGATACAGCCAGGCAACCGTGAGTGGGTTACTGTGATCCAAGGCGTGGGCGCGTCGGGTCGCCAAATACCACCCTTCGTTGTCTTTGCGGGCAAGGTGCTTATCAACGTCTAGTTTAAGGATTTGCTTGCTAACTGGGTTCTTGAAGTCAGTCCCAATGGCTGGACGAATAATTAGCTTGGTCTTGCCTGGTTAGAGCACTTTGATACCCATACAAAGAGCTCTACTGTGGGTGGGTATCGACTGCTCATTATCGATGGCCATGAGAGCCACTGCTCTGTCGATTTCCAAGATCTTTGCAAGGAGAAGAATATTGTGCTTCTCTGCATGCCTGCGCACTCGTCTCACCTGTTGCAGCCCCTTGACGTCGCCTGCTTCTCGCTGTTGAAGCGCAAGTATGGCGACGCTATTTCAGGCTTGGCACGCAACCGCACCCACTATATCAGCAAAGAGACCTTCCTACCAGCCTTTAAGACTGCTTTTGAGCAGTCTGTCACGAAGGAGAATATCCAAGCTGGCTTTAGAGGCGCTGGTCTAGTCCCACACGACCCACAGGCTGTGCTATCTAAGCTTGATGTGGTGGTGCAGACACCTGTACAATCACCGCAACAGGTAGCCGCCTAGCAGGCGCAGACACCACGCAACGCGCGCGAAGTTGAGTCTCGAATTAGTCTTATTTAAGAGAGCGTGAGAAAACGCCGTGGGTCTTCTGCCAATTCACTCACTAAGCAGATCGCGCAGCTAAGTAAGGGGGCCCAGCAAATGGCACATAAAATGACGCTTATGATGGAGGAAATGGGTACGCTTTGAGCGGCTCTTGACGAGTCAAATAAGCGTAAAAGCCGCAAGCGGCGATACGTACGGACAGAAGAGACTCTTACTATAGGCGAAGTACAAGAAGTATTAGCTGAACAGGCGGGTAGCAGTCGTGGTGATGGTGAGAGTGCGTCGAAGAGGGTGCGAGGAGAGCGGCGGTGCGGGCGTTGCAAGCAGACTAGACACAACGCTCGTACCTGCGTAGTTAAGATAGATAGTGCAAGTGATAGTAGCGATTCTAACAATTAATTTAGTGTATCGCAATAGTTTATTAACTGTGATAAAAAACTGTGATAACGTGTTGATGTAGATGTAGTGGTGGGGCGTTAGCGACTCGCTTGGGTTAGCGACTCACTTGTGAACCACGTTAGGCGTGTACACAGATTTACAGCTGAATACAGTAATTGATAGGAGTAGAGATGACATAATCACGAATGAGAGAATGACCCATCGATGTATTCAGGTTGCAAGTTGATAATAGTTCCACCGCTGCTATGCCTGATTCGATTCCCCACACGTGATTGAATGCACTATGGAATTGGGAACCATCATCTGGGACATGGGTATTACTGTTTGTGAGTGATGCAAGTTATAACAAAAGAGAATACGAGACGTAAATGGATAAGTTTATTACAGCTCTATCATCCAAGTGGCAGTAAAGCACTGTCATGACTACTTGTACAAAGCCAGCCTTGTCTCCTAATGCATAAAGGAGGCTTGGACAGCGGACCACAGACAACCCAGTCTAATTGTACTGCATGTACGTAGCAGTCGAGTTGAACTTGAGGTTACCCTTGATGACCTTGTCAACGGCAGCTAAGAAGTCCTTTTCGGTTGCAACCTTTCTCCTGGCTCGGATGGCAAACATGCCTGCTTCTGTTGCTACACTCCTCAACTCGGCACCTGTGCTGTTGGGGCAAAGACGAGAGATGAGCTCCCAACGAATGTCGCGCTCTACACTCATGCTCTTGGCGTGGATACGGAGAATGTTGGCACGGCCCTCCATGTCTGGTAGAGAGAATTCAATCTTTCGGTCGATACGTCCGGGACGCATGAGAGCGGGGTCGAGCGTCGACGGCCTGTTGGTGGCAAACATGACCTTGATGTTACCGCGAGCATCGAAACCGTCGAGTTGTGTAATGAGCTCCAACATGGTACGTTGAACTTCGTTGTCGCCTCCAGCACCGTCATCGAAACGCGCTCCACCGACGGCGTCGATTTCATCGAAGAAGATGATGCAAGCCTTCTTTGTCCGCGCCATCTCAAACAGCTCGCGGACCATCCTGGCACCTTCTCCGACGTATTTCTGAACAAGCTCTGAACCAATGACACGGATAAAGGTGGCGTCGGTTCGGTTGGCCACAGCTCGGCTATAGCTCACTTTTTTCTTTGAGGCCTATATTGAAATTGCTAAGAGGAGAGTCAAGTTGTAGCCTAGCTGCTCTAGCGACTCTCCATACAACTACTTGATACGTAGCCTAAATCTCCTGGCATAAGTAATCCATTTATGTACAGACCCCCCAACTTCAAGTTCCCAACCTTCACGCTCGCAAGCCATCACAAACCATATCGAGCAAGTGCTGGAGAAAGTCAAGCGTATACAACGACGACTTGCCCATGACGCATACGCTGACGCGTCCGTCAGCTAAAGGCGTCCCCTCCACCTCCACGTAATCTGACTTGGGCACCGGAAGCCCGTCTTTAGCTCTATCCGCCTCATACCACGTATACGGCAGACGGGCAGTGTCGTGCTCCGAACCCGTATTCTGATAATGTGCCGTGAGGCCGAAGTCGTCGGTGTCGGGTGCCCAAGAGGTACAATGCGCGGCAATCTCATCGAAGCCGACCGTGTCGTAGGCCGCGGAGTCAAGCAGCTGGTTTCGGATTTGCGAGTAGGCTGCTTGCGGGAGCGGGGAGGAGGAAGAGGAGTGAGGAAAGGCCACGCGTAGCGCTATCTCGTTGAGGCATGGGCCGCAGACTTCACGCAGCGCGGCCGGCAGAGAGGTTCGTCCGGATACTATGCAGCCGAAGACAACGTCTTGACGGCTGGTGGCTTGGGAAAGCATAGCGGCACATGCTGCCATGAAGCGGACGGCAGGCGTCTGTTGTTGAGCAATCTCATTGCCGTGTGGTGATGGTTCTTGGATAATCCGGCTCACTTGGAGCAACTGCACGTCGTTTGCGTCTTGCCTGTGGCACGCGGGGAGTACAGTAGGTGAGTCTGCACCCTCCAGGAGGCCACGCCAGTACTCGTAAGCGGCTGCTGGATTCTGCGAAAACACGTGCTGAATGTAGTCTGCATATCTCGGCGCGGGCACCAGCGAAGTCCCGTCTCGGAGGTAATCTGCAAGAGCAGCGAGCATACGCGGCAGACTAATGCCGTCGTACTGTGCGTGGCTCAGTCTCAGAATGAGCCGTGACGATGCATCGTGCTGGGACGCTTGCACAAAGACAAAGCGTGTCAAGTAGGATCGAGCATCCGGGTATTGGGTCTGGGGGGCACCTGAGTTTTTACTGCAGACCTGCTTTGTTGCGCTTTCTAAGCCTTTATTGCTGTCGGCTTCCACAACTTCCCAGGGCAGTGGAGAGTCTTCTGCGTCGAGATACTGCCACGTTCTTTGCAAAGTACATGCAAATCTCGCACGGAGAATATCAAAGTGCTGGAAGAGCTTCAGACAGCTTGCTCGGACTTGTTCAGTCTTCGTCTCGGCTGGTATGTCGATGAGAATGTGATAGACGTGGGCGGAATACCCGCCTAGAAGGCCGGTCAGGGAAAGCCCCTGAAAATAGGTCACGGGCAATGGGCCGGACGCTGGCGACCTATTGACCGGGGCCGCACCCGTTGCAATATCAGAGGGAGCCTTGGCCTCAACCTGATTTTGAGTCATGTGTACCGCGAGATCTTTGAGCTGTGGGTGATCCCAGATATCCTTTACACTTATAACGACTTGGTGTTTGCGGGCGGCATTGACCAGCCTCATTGCGGATATCGAGTCGCCTCCCCGGTTGAAGAAGTTGTCGTCGATGCCAATGTCATCTTCTGGAATGTTCAGTGCTGCAGCCCAAAGTGATGCAAGCTGCTTTTCCGGAGAAGTCATTGGCCTTGCGGGTGAAGAAGTGCTCTCGCGCGAGTCCAGCAAGCAGGCATCTCGCTGCTTCATGTCCAAATCGAGTAACACGACCTGCAGCTTTCGTCTGTCCATTTTACCAGACACAGTCTTTGGTATCTCTGCTACTGGCACAAAGAGCACAGGAACCATGTACGATGGTATCACTCCAGCCAGCTCGCGTTTGATGTTTCCAGCTGTTTGCTTTAAAATCTGGATCCGTGACTCGAATGAGGCATCAGTCCAGGCCTTTACCGGTGACCAAACAAAGGCGACCAGTATCTTTCTCTTTTCTCCTGCTACGTCTGCAATGACCTGCACATCTGGGTCCTTTTTCCTGAGAATCTGACGAACGTGGTGCTGGACATCGCCCAGTTCGACCCGCTGGCCTCTGATCTTGACCTGCTGCGTGGTAGCCCGCCCGATGAATTCCAGGGAGCCATCGTCTTGATATCGTACGAGATCTCCCGTACGATATGCTCGCCCTGTTCGGCCGAGTTGACCTGGACGATTCCGAGTCATCCAGGGAGGGTTCACCACAAACGTTGCATTGGTTCGTGCGGGATCATTGTAGTAACCAGACCCGACCAGCGGCCCTTCAAGCCACAATTCTGCGACACTGCCGATGCTAGCTAGACGGTCGGACTGCTGTGGGTCCACCAGCCATGTCAACACCCCGGTCCCGCGACCCAGGCTTGTGGGATGACCATCCAGTTCGGTCATACTGCAAATAGGTGTGCCTATTTTCAGAAACGCAACATGAGTCAGCAACGATCAGTGCTTGGATGGTTCCGCTGTAAGCGCTATATATTACTCACATTCCGAAGGGCCGTAGATGTATCGCACGTGAGTGTGACTTTGGATTCTCCGCATCACCTCGAGGTCCATGGCTTCACCGCCGATTTCCAACGAATCCAACGACTCGAGCGTTTCGGCATCGAGCGTGTCAGCGACTGTGGGAGTAATAGCGGCAGTAGTAGCGCGGAGACGAAGGATGCTGCCCTTTAGGTCATCTTTGCGATCGCTTTCTGACGGCACACAGATGGTGCCGCCTGCATAGAGCGTATGCAGCAGATTGTACCATGCCCCTACCAGCAGTCAGTATAGCCCGCATGTATCCACTGTAGTTTGTACGAACCGTCGAATGCCGAGGAGCTGAAATCAAACACTCTTGATTGAGATGAAATGCTCCTACGCGGATATTCATGAACAATGGCGCTGCTGAAACTGCGATGTGAGATGACGCAGCCCTTTGGCTTTCCTGTAGATCCCGAGGTGAAAATAATATACAACGGGGTCTCTGGAGAAACAACTGGTAGCATTGTTTCCGGTAGGAGCGGAGAGCACTCCATCTCTTGTGTCGAACCAATAACAACGGACTCGCCGCTGAATATGGTCGACGCTAGCGCCTGCTCCTCTTCGGATACCAGCATGAGTTTTGGACAAAGCTGATCAATTATGTCTTGGAGTCGAACGGCAGGTAGTGTAGCGTCCAAGAGCACGCAAGTGCCACCTGCCTTCATGACAGCCAGTATGGCGACAGACACCCATTTGCTTTTCTTCAACAGTATCGGGACAGGAGCTGCGCTAATCGATCGTCCGTTGAGTAACTTGTGGGCGAGGCAGCTCGACTCCTCATTTAGCATTCCGTAAGTGAAGGATCCGTCCCAGGCACAAACAGCCTCAGCTTCCGGGTGTTTGGCAAATGGTGGAGCAAGCAGGTCATGCACTGTCGATTCAATCGTGACTGGAATCTTGTCGTTCCACATCCAGATATCATGCATATCCAGCTCGCTCAGCCACTCAATCTCCGATAAGCGCTTGCAGCGAGTCTCATGCGTGCAAAGTCCGCGAAGGATACTCTCGTACTGCGAGAACATGCGCCGTACCTGGCCTTTGGATACCACATGCGAGTCAAACGTCACACGAATGTCCAGGCTGCGGTCCCGAAGCTGGAACTGCACAACCACGGCATACGTGCTCACGGCACCAATGTCGTTATCCGCAACATGGACATCCGCTTCAGCTCTAAAGAGAGATTGGCCGTCACTAGCAGCCCGGTTTTTCACTGCCGGCTGAACCACCAGGAGTGTTTGGAACGCCACTGCGCGCGCAGCATCTTCGCTCAGCTCACGAATATGCTGCAGTCCCACCTGCTCGTACGGCGCCAGGCTCGCCCATTCTCTTTGCAGTCTCACGGCCAGGTCGCCAAGGGTTTCATCTTGCGATGGCAGCTGCATTCGTGTGGGTATCGTCGCGATTGTTGGGCCCGTCATCTCCTCAATGCCGGGCACTGCAGCACCATCCCGCCCGTTTACAGTCGTACCAAAGATGACGTCTTGCACGTTCTCGCGAGAACACACCATGATGCCCCAGGTTGCACGTATAGCCACTGCAGCAGTTACATCCATGGCATCCCATGAGAGATTTTCCATCTTGTAGACGAACGCGGAATCCGCTCGAGGCTTGTAGTCTGGGGAAGGCAGTCGAGGGAACTGATCCGCTTCGTGCCCATTCAGATTCGCGAGCCAAGCGTTTTGAGCAGCCTGCGACCTTCTTTGCGCAATGAGACCCTTGACAAAGGCCTGGTAAGGATGTGGGGGAATGATTTGGGTACCGCGGTACGCTCGCTGTAATGAGTCTAGAAGGCTTCTCACAGACCAGTCATCATGGATTGCGTGATGCATGGTCCAGATGAAGGTGCACTGTGCCTCTTTCTTGACCAAAGCAACACGCACTAGAGGCTTTTCGAGTCCCATCAGTTCCTTTCTGTCTCTCTGCACGTAATCTTCTACATCCTCGCACAATGTCCAGGCGACGGCTTCGCTCGTGATAACCTGTACGAATCCTTCCTGGGGCAGATCAATAATGCGTGTGCGCAATATTGGGTGCTTGCGAACGAGCTCGTCAAACGCATTGCGAAATCGGTCCAGGTCGACGTCAGGATGAAGGTCCTTGAGAATGCGGATTACGTAGTCGGTTGGCGTGGCCATGTTCAGTGCCATCAAGCCAGCTTGCAGGGGCGTACATGGTAGTACGTCTTCAATACTGGCTTCAGGCACTTGGCATTGCATCGCTGCCAGCCTGCGAGCTTCAGCTGCTTCTGTGGATGCTAGAAGTTCAAATGGCTGGATAGTCTCATTGATTTTGGTTTGCGTCGAGCATGTCTCAGCTTGCTCAGACACCACCGTGGCCATGTCACGCAAGCGTGGCGATGTCATGACATCCACTACTGTCAAGACTAGGCCTTGTCGCCTGGCGGCAGCAATGAGTCGCATTGCCTGTGGTCTTCTTAGCAGTGTATCGGTATGCTGATTGGCGGGTTGAATGTAAATGTCAATGACGTACCTTGATAGAATCGCCCCCTTTGCGCATAAAGTGATCGTTTACAGAGATGTTAGAGGGACTGATCCCAAGGACCTGAGCCCAGAGCTCTTGCAGCTTGGCCTCTTTGGGAGTCAGAGAGCCTACATCGCCTGTTCCTTCGGTCATGAGTTCTTTGACTCCGATTTGGGCCAGGGCCCTATGGTCCAGCTTGCCATTGTTAGTTAGTGGCATCCTTTCAAGTGGGATAATTGCCGTTGGAGTCATGTAGGGCGGTAGCTTAGTGCGGACCCATGTCTCTAATTGGTCCCGCAAAGCCGTTTGCGTCTCTTCACAGAAAGGTGTGTTGGCAATCAAGCCACCTTCTCTGTAGTGATCATCGTGTGGGAATGAGAAAAGTGGGCGGGCGCGCTCCCCACTCGCCAAAGGTACTCTTCGATGGAATATAGCATCGAACCCGCCTCGCTGGGAATACTGCCGAGCCCAGCTAATCTCAACCTCGAGACCGACTGCTTGTGCCACTTCGACGAGATCTAGTGCAGATAGAGAAGAAGGCCTTGTAGCTTTTGCTAATAGCAACATTACAGGTAGTTTGTGCGTTTCGGCATCATAACTCGCGTCATAGGCATCTACAATCAGTCTTTCCTCAATCGTCTTCGAGTGAGGGATATTGGACAAGGCCAAAACCACTTCACGGGAAGTATGTTTTGCAAGCGTTGATAAGTGCTGCTGCAGACCGAGCTTATCGAGGCCAGATAGTTGGAAGTCCTGCCAGCGATCGTCGTCCACATGATGCACGCATAGAGGCGGTGCCTTATTTCCTTTGATGTGTAATACCGCAGCGTAGCGATAACAGCTAAGCTCATTTGTTGCTTTCATCTGCTTAGGCAAGATCTCCACATGCTCCACACAGCCATCAAAGTCGTTGACAAGCGCAGTGAAGAAGGCTGGGTCAACTAGAAGTTCCGTCTCAATGCTCTCCTGTTCAAACGCACTCTCTTGTACGTCGGCAACGGTTGCCTGATCACCGACACCATTCTGCAAAACCTTGCGCACAAAAAACTCGTGGTGTTGGGCGTAGGAACGCATATCGCCGAAGAACAGTCGCATACGCCTCTCCGGGTGCAACTGCTCTACACAATTCTCAATCACTGTGTGAAGGTAGTCTGCCGATGGGAAATAATGTGCCACAGAGTTCACCACGACCAGATCTGGTTGAGACTGGTGCACCCATTGGCCAGCGTCTCTGTCAGAGCCTTGATGGACGCGAGCTACGTCTCTCATGGTAGGCAGAGATTCGATGGCCTGATTGACAAAATCCACTGCAGGTAGTGATAGATCGAGCCCAATGTAGAGATTGAACTTGTTCGCAAGGTTGAATAGGATCATGCCGCTCCCAGTGCCGATCTCGAGAACAGTCTCCATGCGGCCACTGTTGATGATAGTGCTGATAGTGTCATTGAGCCATTCCTCCATTTCGTCTGTCGGGATTACAGACCCGTCGTACATCGAGGTCCAGCCAGCAAAGTCCCGGCCGAGTGCTGCTGGCTCTACCTTTTGCTTTAGATCGCTGTATATGCCGTCAAAACGTACTAATCGCGAGTCATCGTGAGGAGCACTGGTCGTTCCACTTGCCGAAGAGGGTATCTGAGATGCCTTCGTAGCTTGGGTGACAAAGCTCACGAGTTCCGTACCCTGCAGTTCATCCTTGGTGATAGTAATTGTGGTGGATTCAGAGACAGCAGCATGTCGCAAGAGAGTTCTATCGATTTCAGCCAGTTCAATCCGATGGCCTCGAATCTTGACTTGCTGATGCTGACTGATTCGCCCCATGAACTGCAGCTGCATATCCTCGGGGTGGAGTCGAGCAAGATCACCAGTTCGATAGGCACGCAGATTTTTTCCGTCCATGGTGATTTCCACGAATCGGTCGGCATTGAGTTGGGGATCGAGGTATCCTCTGGCCAGGCCGCTGCCCGCAACTACAAGTTCTCCAATCACTCCTGGGGGAACAAGCCGCTGTTCAAGGTCCATCACAAACGCGACTGAGCCTGCGACCGACGTTCCTATTGGCAGGTCCTCTGAGCAGGATTCATCGGTACTGGAGACGCGATATAATGTACTGACGACTGTATTCTAGTTCCATGTTAGTAGATGATTAAATACTTGAACAATTAGTGGCCTTTCACTTACCTCTGTCGGACCATATCCATTAAACACTTCTCCCCGAACTAGAGCTTTGACTGCCTGTCCGTCCGAGGCTTTGAAGCGATCGCCGCCCACAACGAGGATCTGCAGTGTTGAAAACGTCTCTGGTGTTTCACGTAGACATTGCTTCAGCAGCGCAGGGGTGAAGACGGCCATTTCGACGTTTTCACGACGAAAAGCTTCCGCAAGAGCTGTGCTATCGAGTAGTGTGGACTCATCGACACAATATAGTGTGTGTCCATTGAGAAGCGCTGTGTATATCTCCATCATGGCCGCGTCAAAGGCTGGATTGAGCAGATGAGCAACGACAGCCTGGTTTTCCGACGGAGCAAGCTGGTATGCCTTTTCTCTCGCCACTCGCACAACAGAGCGATGCTCGAGCATTACGCCCTTGGGAGTTCCAGATGACCCAGAGGTAAATATTACTGCCGCGAGGTTAGCATGCGTGGGTAGTACATGCTCGGCAGTAGTCAGGCGGCGGCCTTCGTCCAGGACCTGGGAAAGGGGTACGCATTCAGCATCTGTCAAGCCAGCAGCGAGTGGTTGCAGCTCAGTGCTAAACAGAACGAGCGGCTTAGTTCCTACAGAAGCAAGTATAGATGACAATCGATCTGCGGGAGACTTGATGTCCAGAGGTAGATATGCATGGTTGGCTCCGAGGATGCCAATGTACATGATCAAGGAGTCCACACAACGGGGTGCCAGCACGCCGACAATGGTCTCAGCAGTGTAGTGTTTTTGTAGCAGCCAATTCGATACCAGTTTCGAGAGATAGCCCAGTTGCGAGAAGGTAAGCTCCTGCTTTGCATCCTTGACAGCGATGCCGCTCGGCCTGATGGCCACTTGGTGCCAGAATGCATCGTATATCGATTCGGTGAAATTGGCAGCTGTGCTATCCAGATGTGTGAAATGAGCGTCGTACAGGTAGGCAGGACCTGTAGAGAGAGCCAACACAGAGATAGGGATGTATGGTTGAGCAAGGCCACCGCGAAGGATATCCGTAAATGTCGACATCAGTCCGGCGATTGAGTGTTGGCTGAAGAGATTCGCATCATAGTCCACCAAGCCACACCATTGCTCCTCTGACCTCCAGATCTGGAATTGGAGGTCGAGCCTCCAGGATGAAGGGGGCTGAGTAGTACCATTGGGTGGTGTAGTCGTTCCGGCCAACGCATGTTCCTCGCGAACACTGTCGGACTCCTGGCCATGTGCTGCGAAGCCGAGTTTCACGATGCAACCGCTTGGTACATCTTCAGCCGGGAACAATGCGGTTGGAAGGTCATCGAGCGGCGTATCTTTGGCTTCAGATAATCCAGCGAACTGTTCCAGAACCTGTTCGAGCAGAACTGAGAAGGAAGTCTCACGCTGCACAGACACGCGAATGTGTTTCGTCGCTGCCCCGCTTGGATTTGATTTCCCATGGCCGTGGAGGCTTGCAAATGACAGTCCAACGACGGCGTCCGGCGCCTCCATGAAACGGAACTGTGCAGCTCGAAATGCAGTCAAAAGAACTGCAACCTCCTCGCCTCGTCGTGTCCGGCAAAAATCCCGAACTTGTTGTGATAGAGAACTGCCCAAGCTGAACTCACTAATTCCAGACATTCCGGAGCTGGAATCCCCCGATGATGGCGTGCTGGGGAAGCTGTCCACCGGACTGCAACCACGTACCCCGACCACCCCATGTGCCAGGTCTTGCTCTAGTGAGCATTTCTGCTCCGATGAGCATTCTTGGCTGGTATCTGCTGGGTGTTTCAGCGCAATAGATGAGTTGCAAGACGAGACATGGCCCGACACAGCGTGCTCAAAAGGCATAGATGTACAGGCATTGGGAGCCATTGCTGCAGAGCGGTAGGTTTTGAACGCGATATAGCATGTGGCAGATGGGAATTTTGGGCAAGAATATATGCTTATTCATAATCACCGTCTCTCGAAAATTTGCAATGGGGAGTCTTGCACCACTCCAATGGCGACATGGGCCTTGTCAATCCTCATCATGCTCAATAGCCTCTTCCAGATGACGGCGGATTTGAGGGGGGGAGCGTAAGCACCGACAGAATGGCCCAAGCTCTTTGGCAGTCTCTGGTCAAGCCGAAGCTCAGCAAACATAACCTTCAGATGGCAGGGGACGGTAGCCAGTCTGGGATGGTGTCACTGACACTAACGCAGTCATCCACGGTTGAGCATCAAACTTACGATAAACTTTGCTGGGCCTTGTAGGAGTTGATGTTCAGTTGGCGTTGTGAGACATGTCAAAGCAAGCTACAACCAGGCGGAAAAGTAGGAGAGTCAGTCATCAGTCCAAGTCCGTGGCCCTAGCGTTTTGCAGCCTCGCGAACAGCACAACGTGCTACTCGATCTGGATGAAGTACGTTGGTCATGCCAAGACTATTAGAGCCAATCCAATTATTACCGCATCTTTTACTGGCAAAATCTGCCAGTTAGCATACGGTGATTACGTCGACCTTTTTTCGCTTAAGTAACCCCTTGTTCCTCTTACCTGGCTCACCGAAGAAATCCCCGCTTTCCAATGCTTCTAGAAGCTTGATTGATACATACCTGACAAGACTATATTTCGCCTAAGCGGGGAGGGGGAGAGGGGCAGTTATTATTACCGCAACATTCTCTTTTCGGAACTAACAATACTATTTGACTAGATGATTAGATAACACCTGGCAATTGTTGCACTGACGTTTTTCGTTTAACCCGCCGAACAACTTACCGGCATGAGGGAACCCAGCCTTTTTTTTCCTAAAGAGAGGGAATTGAGCTCATCTGTTTTCTCACCAAGTACTTACTATAAGCTGCATAACACACGCTCTTTACCTAGCTGCGATAACTTAATGAACTTTATTAACTTGCTAGCTGATATACATGTATAGGTTTGTTAAGTAGCTGGGTATTTCTTTTTATCAGTGCTTCTCCTTATAGTGCCGTGCCGTATCTTTGCACTATATAATTAATATGTAGGGATGCAACCGATATTATCAGGGAACGCTGCTATAGGCTAAAGACTTCCCGCACTAGAAAGAGAGGAGAAGGAAAAAGAAAGAATAAGCTCTTATGTATCGTATTACCTTTGCTTATACTACTAGCTTTCAGAACACGCGTAAGCAGATTGCCGTTTTCTAGGGTATCTGGGGCGGGGCCTTACAGGGGAGGGGGGGATGGGGTTGGGCAAAAGGAAGTATTCCGGCTGGTAGGCCATGCGTAGAAGTTAAGTGTCTCTCAGTGGTTCAATGACTAGCTTATCTGTGACGTGGTGCTTTAACGCGGCGGCAGGGAGCGCCCCTCCTCTGTGATGGGACGCTTACTTATCCCCATTACCTGGCTGAAGGGGAACTGAATCCACCATGTCACTTATGTGTAATGGTTAACATGGTTTATTCACTATATATCACCATAAACGTTACAGTAACTTGAAAAAAAAACCACACACAAAATAACAGGCTTGGAAAATGCACCAACAAGCCACGGCCAAAAAAAAACGCATTTCGCTGACATGATACAATCTCACCGTCTCCGACCCACCCCGAACTTTGGACATCATAAGACGATGCAATGTCGTGATGCAGAGATATCAAAACTTTCCTGACCCATGCGCGCTGAGTGGATTCTCTTATCTCTCTCTCTCTCTCCCTCTCTCTTTTTGGAAGTGACCATTGCGTTGCAGGAGGCCCGAATCTGCAACCCCCCCCCCTCTTCCCCCACAACTTTCTCGGCCCCTGTACAAGTCTTCTCTTACCACCACTACTACCAACCAGGTAAGTAAGTCAAAGTAAGCCAACTCCCCTCTCTGCTCCCCCAGACCCACCCATCCACCCACCCACACAAACGCACAAGTCTCGCCGTAAGACCTATCCTTTTTTTCCCCCTCTTTTTGCTCTGAACTTTTTTTTCATTTCCGAGAGACTCTGATGAAACGCAAGTAACAATCAAGTAGAACGTAAGAAAGCAAAAGAAAAGAAAATGGGCTAATCAGAGTTCTTTTTTTTGGTTGAACTACTAAGTACTACTACTACTACGTCGCGAAGATTGAAGGTTTGATCTCACATGCTATCGGGCATGCCATGTCATGCATGCATCTCATCTTACTATCTCGCTAGGATTTTGGGAAAAAGATTTAAAAACAAAATAAAAAAAATAAAAAAAGAGCTATTGCATATCGGTAATCGAGGTGGTGATAAGATTCTGACGAGATCGTGGGATCTGGATTTGAATTCTCGCTCTCGCTTGGGTTTCAAAACTTGTCGATAGTGCAGTCGGTATTTCACCATGGGCAGCAGCGGCGGCGATGGTGGTGATGGAGTCCCAGAAAGCGACGAGAAGAAACACGATGCCATTGTCCATCTAGACGCCTCCTCCACCTCCACGACCTCACTTGACGATGCCTCCGCAACCAGCGCATGGAAAGCATACTGGGTACGTCGTCCCCTACTCCTCCATTCCCCAATTCCCGCAAACCTACCAGTACTAAAATCCGCACTCCGAACCTCCAGCGCGTATTCAGCTACGCGGGCCGCCTTGAGCGCCTCACGATGCTCTTCGCCAGCATCTGCGCCCTCAGCTCTGGCGTCGCCATCGCCTCTCAGAACCTCATATTCGGGCAATTCGTGACGCTCTTCACAGACTTTGGCTCTGGCAGAACCACAGCTGCGCATTTCAAAGCACGCAGCGCAACCCTCGCATTGTACTTTTTCCTCATGGGCACGGGCAGACTGGTGCTGGCGTACGTGTACAACACACTGCTAACCTACAGCGCATTCCGCATCGTGCGCAACCTGCGCAGCGCCTACCTGCGCGCCGCTTTACGGCAGGAAGTCGCGTTTTTCGATCTGGGGGTCGGCGGCTCCATTGTCACGCAGGCGTACTCGAGCGGGCGCCTGGTGCAAGGCGGGATCTCGGAGAAGCTGGGGCTGACGGTGCAAGGCATCGCGGCGTTTCTGGGCTCGTTTGTGATTGCCTTCGCGACAAACTGGAAGCTGACGCTGATTATCTGTGGGATAGCGCCGCTGACGGTGGGCGTCATGATGGGCTGTGCGTTTGTCGAGGCGGGCTATGAAGCCAAGATCCTCGAGTACTATGGTCTTGCGAATGCATTTGCAGAGGGCGTGCTGGCTAGTGTGCGGACGGTGCATGCGTTTGGCATGAGGCGCCAGCTTGTGCGTACGTATGACGGTTTCCTGGCCAAGGCACATGCATGGGGTGATAAGATCTCGCTGCTGTTTGGCATTCTGTACTCGGCCGAGTACACAATTATTTATCTGGGGTATGCGCTGGCGTTCTGGAGGGGCTTCCACATGCTGGCGGATGGCGAGGTGAGCAAGACGGGAGACGTGTTTACGGTGCTCTTGTCTGTGGTGATTGCCGCCTTGAGCATCACACAGCTGGCGCCTTACTCGATTGAGTTTACGCGCGCTGCGTCGGGCGCGGCTCAGCTTTTTGTGCTCATCGACCGCAAGACGGGTATTGACCCTTTTGATCCGTCTGGAGAACAACCCGATTCTCTGACAGGAGACGTCGAGCTGGACAATGTTAGCTTTGCGTATCCCACACGACCCAACGTCGCGGTCCTGGACAACTTCTCCCTTCGCGCCCCAGCAGGCAAAGTCACTGCGCTCGTGGGCCACAGCGGCTCTGGCAAAAGCACCATCGTCGGCCTTCTGGAGCGGTGGTACAATCCCACATCCGGGTCGATTAAACTTGATGGCCGGCCCATTGAATCGCTGAACATTGCGTGGCTGCGGAGAAACATCCGTCTGGTGCAACAGGTACGACATGACATGTATTTGCTTGGGAAAGACATTGACTAACTTGATACTGGCAAGGAACCCGTTCTCTTCAGTGGCACCGTTTTCGACAACATAGCCCATGGGCTCAACGGGACTCCACTGCAAGACGCAGCCTACGAAGAGCAACTCGCCCGTGTGCAGGACGCCGCGAGAATTGCCTTTGCGCATGACTTCATCTCCCAGCTGCCCCAGGGCTACAACACGGACATTGGGCAGCGCGGCAGCCTGCTGTCGGGCGGCCAGAAACAGCGTATCGCCATTGCCCGGAGTCTGGTGTCCAATCCCAAAGTGCTGTTGCTGGATGAAGCCACCAGCGCGCTCGATCCCCACGCTGAAGCCATTGTGCAGCAAGCTCTGGACCGCGCTGCTGCTGGCCGCACCACGATAGTCATTGCACATAAGCTTGCGACGATCCGCAGGGCCGACAACATCGTCGTCATGTCCCGGGGAACCATCTTCGAACAAGGCACTCACGACGCTCTCATTGCCGCCAGCGGCGCCTATTCGCGCCTAGTCGCCTTCCAGCAGCTCGGGGGAGCCGAAAAGCCAGCGCTGCATGGCAGCGAGACGGAAAAGTCGAGTCTGGATGAAAAAGCACATGGCGTTGGGCCCAGCCTGCCTGGCACTCGTGGTGCAGCTACAGACCAAAAGACTCTTGATTCCCCGGCTGAAGAATCCCATGGATATGACGAAGACGACGACGAAGACGAGACCGGCGCGCAACTAAGCTTGCTACCACTCGTATGGCGCCTCATGGTCGCAACGCCCCATCTCAAATGGGCATACCTGGCCCTCGGCGCCAGCAGCGTGGTATCCGCAGGCGTGTTCCCAGGCCAAGCGATTCTAATGGCGCACATGGTGAATGTATTTACGCTACCCAAAGCCACAATGCTGTCACACGGCGACTTCTACTCGGCCATGTTTGTCGCGCTGGCGGGCGCCTGTCTGGTCGCCTACTTTGTCATGGGGTGGGCTTCCAACGCCATTTCACAGTCTCTATCGCACGAGCTGCGGCGCCAAATGTTCAGCGATGTTTTGCGCCAGGACCTGGCGTATTTCGACCGCCGCGAGAACAATGTCGGCGCGCTGGCGAGCCGCATCGATGCGTATCCGCAGGCCGTGTTCGAGCTCATGGGCTTCAATGTCGGCTTGATTCTTATTGCTGTGTTGAGCGTCGCAACGTGCTCGGTGCTGGGACTCGTGTATGCGTGGAAACTCGGGCTCGTCATTGTGCTCGCTGGGCTACCAGCTCTGATCGGATGCGGCTGGCTCAAGATGGTTGTTGATGCCAGACTCGATCGCATCGTGGCCAAGCAGCTTGCCACGAGTTCTGCCATTGCCTCGGAGTCGACAACAGCCATCCGCACTGTGTCGTCGCTGGGCATCGAAGCATCGGTGCTCAAGCGCTACACGCACGAACTCGACCACGCCATCAGCCAGTCGACCAAGCCGCTGCTCAGCAGCATGCTGTGGTTTGCCCTGACACAAGCATCCGAATACTGGTTCATGGCGCTGGGGTTCTGGTACGGAACGCGGCTTGTAGCGTCTGGCGAACTCGCCATGGTGGACTTCTTCATCGCATACATGTCCGTCTTCTTCTGCGCGCAATCCACATCGCAAATCTTCCAGTTCTCGACGAGCGTCACAAAGGGTAAGAGCGGCGCAGACGCAATCTTCCACCTCCAACAGCTGCAGCCCGTCGTCGGCGAAACACCCGAGAACAAGGATAACAGCCCCAAGCCAGGAGACGCAGTGCACCTCCAAGACGTGGGCTTTGCGTATCCCCTGCGGCCGCACGCCCCCGTGCTTAAAGGCATCAGCCTCGACGCCGCAAACGGCCAGTTCATCGCCCTAGTCGGCGCCTCGGGCTGCGGCAAATCCACAATCATCTCGCTGCTCGAGCGCTTCTACGACCCCACGGCCGGCCGCGTGCTAATCGGCGACGCCAACCTCGCTGCGCTGAACCCGCGGAAATACAGAAACCAAGTCGGCCTCGTACAGCAGGAACCCACGCTCTTCCAGGGCACGATTCGCGACAACATTGCTCTTGGCGTCGCCGACGACGACGACGACAACGACAACGACGATGTATCACCGCTGGATTCAAGCACAATGCTCGAAACAAGCGGTACTGCCACCGACGAGGCCATTGAAACAGCGCTGCGTGCAGCCAACGCGTGGGAATTCGTAGCCTCACTCCCTTCAGGCATACACACTGCCGTGGGGCCCAACGGGACCCAGCTCTCGGGGGGCCAGCGCCAACGGCTCGCCATTGCGCGGGCGCTGGTGCGAACCCCGCACATCCTGCTGCTCGACGAGGCGACGAGCGCGCTCGACACGGAGAGCGAGAAGATTGTGCAGAGCGCGCTGGTGGAAGCGGCCAAGCACGGAAATCGCATTACGGTTGCCGTGGCGCACCGGCTGTCGACTGTCAAAGACGCGAATCTCATCTGCGTGTTTCGAGACGGGCGGATTGAGGAGATGGGGACGCATGTGGAGTTGTTGGGGAGAGAGGACAGTTTGTATGCGAAGATGTGTGAGGCGCAGAGTCTGGCGTAGATGGATGGGTAAAAGATGCGAGAAGAGCGTATTAGAGGATGGAATAATAATGCATCATGATGTAATGCCGAGTTGTAATCCTACAGATGCAATGCCGAGTTACGAATCTGTACAAGAGGTATATAAACAAAGTAAATTCAGTCATTAGTGTCATACGTACGTACTCTGATGCTTAAACCACAACCGTCTCTCCAACATCACACAGCCCGACATCCACCCCCCATTTCAAACCCTGCATCTCAGCACCCTTCTGCCATCGCTCAGTCGGCTCGGTAACCGGCTCGTAGTTAGCCGAGTAAGCGCCTCGAAAGGTGCCATAGTGCATCCCGAGACTCTTTTTACTCCTTACATCGCTGTGTATAGCCAAGGCGTCCGCGGGACTCGAGTGCTAGCCCGACAGCACCGAGCGCGGCTTGAAGCATCCAATTGGCACGAGGGCAAGGTCGAATGGGCCGTATATGCAGCCTATGTCTTTGAAGGCGGGACACGGCGCATGGGGCGCATCGTGATGCGAGTAGTGGTCGTCTGACGTAACAGAGCAGTATCCCGTGTCGCCTGCGAAGAAGAGCTTTTTTCCCGCCGGCAAAGGCTCCTGGACGACCCAGCTGCACCACAGCGTGCTGTCGAAGTTCCAGGGCGCGCGGCCGGACTGGTGTTGTGCGGGCGTGCAGATGAGATGGACGCTCCCGGCGTCTGGCGTGGATAATGCTACGCCGTCCCACCAGTCCAGTTCGCTGACTTGGTCGGCCTGGATGCCTATCCCGAGGCCGGTGAGGACAGCCTTGACGCCCAGGCCGCAGAAAAAGCGCAAGTCGCCGTGCTGCTTTGCATTGAGCTTGCTGAGCGTGTCCGAGTCGAGGTGGTCGTAGTGGTCGTGGCTAATGCAGACGGCGTCGATGGCGGGCAGCTCATCAATGGTGCAGGGCGGTGGAGTGAAGCGTCGAGGCCCAACCATGCCATATGGCCCTACGCGCTGGCTCCAGACGGGGTCAAGCAGGATCCGCATTCCCCGCCCTCCCGACGTTGTCGTTGTTGTTTCAATCAGGAAACTCGCGTGCCCGATCCACGTCACCTTGAAGCCTTGGGTCGCACTGCTGAAGTCCGGCTTGCGCACCTGCACGAGGCCGGTGCGGTCCTCGGGGATAGGCACAAACTTCTTTGGCGTAGTGAAGCGCGTGCGCACGGCAGTTCCGATGCCGTTTTTCTGGTACGAAGGCCATGGGTTCTTGAATGAGGTGGGTGGAGAGCCAACATGGTGCGCCTTTGTATATCCATCTGGGATGCGAGGCGCGAGCGGTGCTACGATGGATGTGGGAGACATGACTGGTGCTGCGGCACGGCGAGGAAACAGAATGAGCACATGGCGGAGAGCTGCGAGCGATGATGGCGCTGTTATGCCCGTGGCCAGCTGAGGCGTCGTGAAGGCGTTGCTCGGAGGGACAGTTAGTCCGGCGGGCCGACACGTGGGGGAGGAAAGCTGATGACGACGGTGGGTAGTAGTAGCATCAGCATTAGCAGCCATTTTAATTTTTTTTAGCCCCGGAGACAAATTAAGCCACTACTTTTCTTATCGGCCAATGGCACAAACACGTGAGCCCCCGACTAGCCTATACGCAGGTACAGCCCGCCACCAATTCACCTTCTACAACAGGCATGGACTGTCTCCGAGCCGCAGCCACGAGTTCGGGCGTTGGCCCAAAAAATTTTGAGGTTTAAGAACGAGTGCCCTGCTTTTGCCCCCCAAAAAATGTTTCCTTCTATTTACTTGCTTGCAGCTCGCGGTCGTGGCGCCGACGTCTTCTCTTTTTTTTTCCCATCCCCGTACCTAACATAGGTAGTACTCGACCTTCACCTCGACCATGAAACACAGCATTTCGCAGGCGGGAGCCACCGCCACGCTGCTGGCCCTGACGGCGAGCGCGCAGCTGTACCCCAACCAAAGCCCGTTGAACCACACATGCCAACTCCAAGAAGCGCTTTTGTCCTGCCCATCTCAAGACGCGTCCCGGGTTGATTCGTGCTGCGTCGAGACGTTTGGCGGGCTGCTTCTCAGCACGCAATTCTGGAACACATATACGGGGCGCGAGGCCGACGGCCAATTCCTGCCGACCGACACGTGGACGCTGCACGGGCTGTGGCCCGACTTCTGCAACGGCAGCTACACACAGTACTGCGATTTGTCGCGGCAATACGACCCGATTCCCTCGCCCAACACGACCAACGGGCTCGCAAACGGGACTGCAGTGCCCGCGTACACGGGTCCCAGCATCGATACTTTCGTCGAGCCCTTTGGCCGCTTCGACCTGCTCGCATACATGAGCACCTACTGGATCGCATGGCAGCAAGACAACGCGGGGTTCCACGCCCACGAATTCTCAAAGCACGCAACCTGCTTCTCCACGTTCAACGTGCCCTGCTACGGCCCGCTGTACCGCCAGCACGAGGATGTCGTGGATTTCTTCGACACGGCCATTAGCTACTACAGGCGGCTTCCGACGTTCGACTGGCTCGCTGAGGCAGGCATTACGCCCTCGAATCGCACCACGTATTCGTATGCGGATATTGTAACCGTCCTGAGTGACAGGCACGGCGGAATCCCGTTTTTGGGCTGTACCGGTCCCAGGTTTAATGCTACGGCCGCGGGCAGGAATACCACGGATAAGGGGTATACCGTGCTGAATGAGGTGTGGTACTACGAGCATGTAAGTCCAATAATCATGCGTTTCCAAGATATGGTCAACCTGACAAGTCACTCAGGTCTACGGCCGCCCTCAGGAAGGCAATACCGTCTCTGTCAATGCATCAGCTAGCTACCTGACAAACTGCGCCACCTCGGCGGGCGCAATCCTGTATCCTGAGCGCAGCAATGGCTCGGAAAAGGTACCTACTGTGCCATATTAAACGAAGAGAAGAAGAAAATGAGCTTCTCTCTCCTTGTAAACAGATACCTGCTATGCTACTACATATATACACAATGTAATCACGACAAACACCAAAAAAAAATTCAATACTATGCAGTCTATACTTGATTGATTCATGCATTCATCCAACTAAACTATATCTACTTGCTTGTGTACTTGCTTGCTTGCTTGCTAGTGCCGAAAAAAAAGATGCCAAAAGAAACATGAAAAAAAGGACCCCCCTCCCGATGACATAAACGAAGACCCTCCGTTGAAGGAGTGGCTCAAGTCGGTGGATATGTAAACCGCTATAAATACAATCATGTCTAGGTACTACAATGGATTGATGGATAAATCAAAGGGAAGAAATAAGAAGAAGAAACCAAAAAAATAATGTACTAACTAAAAGGAGATATAGCCAGTGCTTTTTTTTGCTTCCCAGCATGAGAGACAATGACCTCCTGACATGACAGTAACAAAAAAAAAAGAAGGAAGAAAATCCGTCTATTGGGTTTGAGCAGGTGCAGAGACTGCAGTAGTAGCAGTAGTAGTGGTGACGACAATGGTAGACTCGGCGTCCTCGGTCTCCGTCTCCAACTCGGTCATGGTCGTGTCGCCATCTGCCGCTGGCTGCGTAGCGGGAGTAGTAGGCTGATCCCGCATTCGTGAAGCAGGCCTCTCTGAATCCTCACGAGGACCCTGGGGAGAATCCACACCCATTTGCTTTGTCTTTGGTTCTTCAGACGTCTGGGACGCGTCGTCGGTGGCCTCGTCGTCGTCGTCATCGTCCCGGTCTGTGTCTCCATCGTGCTGTTGTTGTGGGCTGCTGGCGGCACTGTGGCTACCACTGCTGCTTTGTGCGTCGCCTTCAACCTGCTCCTTCTTGACTTGACTCGATGGCTTGCGGTGGTTGTGTGATCGAGAGTGGGCGGCGTGGTCATCGTCTTCTGAAAATACTTGACGGACATAGTCGTGCTGTTTCCGCGAGGCATCAAGGCCCGCGGGGAAGATCTTGCCCATGATGGCATTGTGCTTGTCTGTGGCATTGGAGTTTGTCGGTGTGAAAGCACTGGGGCTGGGCGTGTCTGGAGCACCAGCTGAAGCAGCGTATTGAAGGCTTGCTGTAGGTGTTGGCGAGTGGCTAGATTCGCCCTCTTTGCGTGCGTGGACTTTGCGGAGATTGGCGGCCGACGACTGCGAACGCATGTCTGGACGGCCGTCTTTTCGGATGAGAATGCCATCGGCATTGCGCACGGGTTTGGTCCGAGTCTTCTTCGTAGAGCCATAGGTCTCGCCCGCCGGACCGAAGTTGACACCGGCAGTGACACCCTGCAGACCTAGACTGGCAGCACGATCGTTGGGTGTAAACCCTCCACGTCCGCCACTGCCGCCATTGCCTCGACGTGCGATGCTGCCTCGTCTTTGCAAGTCTTCGGGACTGGCCTGGGAGCCAGGAATGCTTTCTGTTTCCCAGTCGGACGCTCCATAGGGGGCATGGCCTGAACCCATCATGCTCTTTTGGACTCTACCACCCCGGCTGCCCGGTCCTCCTCCGCCACGTCCCCGTCCTCGAGGTCGATACCCGATAGGCTGCTGCGTAGACCGCCAAACATCGTCAACGGGTCCGTCTTGCGGACGTGTAGCATAGACGACTTGTTGTGGTTGTGACACGACGATTGATTCTGGCACTGTGCTTGGAGACGGCATAGCCCGTGCGGGCGTTGAAAACCGGGCATCAGCCCTGTCGGCTTCCGCCCGATTGACAGGGGGGTGCGAAGCTGTGTATCCATTGCTTGGGTAGGGTTCAGGCTCGCCCAGCTTTTGGCGCTTGGGAGAGTGGGGCCCATAGGACGCGGTCTCTTTAGGGCTGTCCATGCTGCTGTGCGAAGTCCGCTTCACGCCGGCATTAATCGCAGCCCATCCATTGCTTTGAGCAGCTCCAGGCTCGGTCCTCGGTGTGGCCTCCGAGACAGTCTTGAGCGGAGGTGCTCCGAGCGACAGCTGGTGGTGCGGGGCACTTGAAACTGGCTGAGATGGCTCGCTGTGTGACAGGGTTGGGGTAGTGTGGTAAGAAAGCGCCGCACTATGTGGCGTTTGAGCCGGTTGCACTGGCGGCTCTCGTGGAGTTTGGTGTGCATGTGGTGGTGGCTGTGACTGGGCAGCTGTGGCCTTTTCTTCGAGCTGATAGATTTTGTTCTTCATGATTTCCATGTGGAGCTTCATGTTGTCGACTTCGCTCGTCTTGTGAGACATGGCGGCAATTTGTTGCGCCATGAGTTCGATGGCCGAGTCTTGGGCGCCTGACGGTAGGCGTGGAGCGAAAGCCGCAGTGTGAGGTTCCTTGTTCATTCGGGCTGCTTTCAAATCTCGGGTCAGGGATTCCATTGCATAGCGCATGGCCTGCATGTCGTGCTGCAGTCGTGCTACAGACTCTTCCACTCTGTGCATTTCGACGCTGTGACGGGATAGCTGCGTCTGGAATTCACGGCGAAGCGTGTCCTCGAGATGCAGAAAAGACTCCTCGCAACGCCGTATATCGCGAGTGTGTGCTGCCAGAGCCCCGCTGTTCTGGGAAATCTGCGTCTGCAAACGCTCAACAGCGTCAATGCCAACGGTGCTAGGCGCACGGGGGTAGTGATGGGCGACGACCGTCTGCGTAATCTCGGGAAAAGACCGCGAGCGAGGCATGGCAGGCTGAGGCAGCACACGCGAAGCATCCTTGGGGGAGACGGCGGGATCCTGATGGGGAGGAGCCAGGCTCTCACGCCTCGACTCGGGGGCGGGAGGGGAGCATGAGGGTGTTTGGCCGAGGGCTATCCGGGCAGTGCTTTGCAAGGGACTGAGCACTGGAGGGGAATGTATTGATGGGAGTGTTTTGAACGATTGTCTATCAGCATCGATGGGATACAAAGACGGCCTGGGCGTGTGGTCAGGCTCGTATGGCTTGCCCAGCTGGGCGCGAGAATACGCAGACTGGTGCAACGACGGCGTGGCTGAGACAACCTCCATGGCTTCGCTCGTAGATGATGGCTTAGGAGTGTGATTCAAGGAAGAAGGACTTGGAGAGTCCTCGGGTGCTGATAAATCTGGGGCAGTGTCCTCTCGTGGCTCTATTACAATAAATTGACCAGGCGCAATTTCGCATCGCAACTCAATGCGACTTAATTTGAAAAAGTCTCGGCCCCTGTGGCGGATGCAGCGTTAGCCATAGCAAGCAGGCGACAAAGTCCGAAGCAAACACACTCCAAGCCAGTGGCTCAGGAGCAATATGAACGTACCGGAATTTTCCTTTACCCGGGGGAGCAGTAACGACAGTAAAGCCAATCGGGGTGTCGCCGCAGCCAGGATGTGGGCACGACAGAGGCTGGATAGTGCTGGTGACGGTGTCAGCCGGATTTATATTGCACGCGCGCGCACGGAACAGGAAGTGAAGGGCGGAGGCAGGTGGGAGGGCGCGAAGTGGGCGGACGGGTTTAATAGATGAGAAGATATAGTGTGGATATTATTTGGAACACACTAGCGTGGGTGTGCTGAAAGGAAAAAAGTAAGATAAAATAGAATAATAATACAACATGTAACTCAGCTATACCTAAAGACGCAGATCATGTATCGGGACGCATAAGCAGGGCTTGACGGGGGTGGGCCAAGGTGGGAAATCGTGCGACAGCGAGGCCTCTGGAAAGGGGAGATCAATGCGAGGGTAATGCTTACATACCAGTCTTCTAAATCGGTGCCCTTGGACGCCGCTTTAGGCTTGGCGGAGCGCTTCAGCGAGAAGCTATAGGAGCCGAGCAGGGCAGGGGCGTAGTAACTCCCGGTGACGCGATACCACGAGTTGTAAAAGTCGCCTATTTGCCTGCTGCAGTGGCGGCAGAAGGCTGTCGTCGCGCGCTGGGGCGGCGGCGGCGGGGCATGTGATGCCAAGCGCTGACCTGGTATCTTATCGGCCGTCTCGTCGGTGAAGGCTGCAGCGGCGTGCGACATGGAGCGCCGACGTTGAAGTGTATTCATGCTGTCTGTATTGGTATCACTAATACGGGACTGGTATACTCGCTGGTGCACTGGGTCCGTGGACTGGCAGCCCATTGAGGCGGACCGAAAGGATAGATTACCGTGCCGCGACACGGACACGGCCAGGTGAATCTAGCACTGCGGGCACGCCAATTGCAGAGTAGCAGCTGCCAATCCGACGCGAGTGATGGGCACAAGATGGGATTGTTGATGGCCGGCCTGGGGCATGCGAGCGTGGTAGTGTAGACGATGCACCCCAGCGCAGCAAGGGCAGCCAGGACAGGGCTGTAGGCGGTATGCAGTGAGAGAGGGCGGAGGCGGCGGCGGACCAGGGCAAGAAGAAGGAGGTAATGCTGATGCTGATGCCAACGCTGCTGATGCTGCTGATGCTGACTGAAGTGACGAGGATAGCAAAGGATATAAGATAGGGCGAGGAGAAAAGAAGATGAAGCGGGGATCGGGAGGGGCGTGTGAGTGAGTGTGAGTGTGTGAGTGTGAGTGAGTGTGAGTGTGAGTGTGAGTGTGTGAGTGTGAGTGAGTGTGAGTGTGTGTGTGTGTGTGTGTGTGTGTGTGGGAAGGGGGGGCGGCGAGAAAGAGAAAAAAAGGGAAAGAAAAAAAGAAAAAGAAAAAAAAAGGGCAGCCAGGCCATGAGACAGGCATAAGTGGGCACCGAGGAAGCAGACAGGCAAGGCAAGTGCAAGGCAAGGCAGGCTTTGGCTATACCAGGGGCGTGGGCAGAGAGGGCGTGTGGGAAAAACCAAGTTAGGGAGAGAGAGCAAAAAGCCAAGCAAATTGATTTAGCAGACGTAGTTGCATGATTGGCGGGCGAGGCAAAGGCCCAGTGGGGCCTAGCGGCAAGTGGGAGATGTTATTGAGAAGGACTCTATTATGAATAAGCGTTGGAGGGCCCCGTCTGGCGTCGCAAGCGCACGGCGCTAGCGCTTGCGGATTGCGCGCATGACTGTGCAAATCTGGCCTTTTTCTGTCCATGGCTCCGTCCGCTATAACAATTGCATCCACACTATACTATATGCCGTACTATTACGGCCTATTTCTGTGTATACGCACCAATTCGCCACTCCGACGCTGCCCGCCGCTCCACCCCAATCGCGCGCGCCCACACACCACACACACACACACACACACACACCATCGCACCCCCTGCTGCAAAGGAGCAGAGAGAAAGAAAACAAAAAAGAAAAAAAACAAGCGTGGCCTCGCCCTTCCGCTGCAGACAGGCATCCCGCGATAACGTTGCGTCCAGGGGCTGGCTATACGCCCCCATGTTGGCATTTGTCATTATATCCAGACTAGCTGCCCTGCCTGCCCACACCACCACGACACACGACAAACCTGACGTCGTCGACTACCCAGCCAGCCTCCAGGGCTTCGATACAAATTCTCTGCGACTGCCCACACTCGCCTGGCCTCCTCAGTCTGACCTCAGCAGCCCGCCCAATGGCCGGCCGCTGGGCCAACGACGACGGGTTTCGCTCTTCTGCTACTAGCTTACTGCATCCGACAGCATGCGGCCACAGGCGTGCGCTACGTGAACTTTAGCCAGACGCGATAGATATATCGACAGGGATCTTTATTGTTCCTCTATGCCATCGACTCAACTCGCCCGTCCGTGCCCTACTAAGGCCGCCTGTCTGTTACCGATCCATGGCCTTTGTTGCCAACCACGCCGCACGCCTGCCTGCTCCGCAGCACATTATTCAGCCTCGCACACCCTCCAATTCCCATTTTCCCACTTTTGCAATTATCCGCCCCTAATCACATCACCTACCTACTATATGCCATGTAGTGTGTAGCATGTGCTATGTAACGCTCCCCCCCCCTAGCCTGTCTATCCACGACACCCCCGAAATTAACCTGGGCTACACACGTCCAACCTCGGCCAGCGTATGTAGCAGAGTTGCTTAGGGCCCGGCGTATGACTGTCCGTTTCGCATTGCGTGTGACACAAACCACACTTCCAGACTTATCCTTGTCCTTTTTCGTCTTCACTTGACCACGATCAATCCGACTCCGTTGCGGGCCTCCTGGCACGCCAGAGAGAGCGCCTGTCTCTCCGTGTCGGTCCACTTGACGCTAAGATTGTCCCAGTTCTTGGTCGCATACTCGTGCCGGTACTGCTGGTACATGGCCTGCAGCCGTCGCATCTCTCGAGGGTCGCCAGTCCCACTGTACACAATAAAGGCCGTGCAGCGTGGCAGGGAGGCGTACACTTGGCCGATCCGCTCCACCGTTCTCGAAACGGCATCCCCGAGTGCAGCGCCCTCAAGACTAATATCCGTGTCGTCACCATGTTGCGAGACGCCCAGTCGCTCGAGGCCTTGCTGCCGGAGCTGCTCCACGTCTGCTGACTTTGCGTCATCCCACCATCCTCTGGCAAGCTCGAGTTCTCGCAGACGTCCCCAGACAAAATCAATCTTATCCGTCGTGCCGTCCTTGCCCTCGGCCTGCCCCTTCAGCGTCCGGTCAATGGCTTCGACCACCTCGGCGTCTGTCTTGCACCCAATCGCAACACGAGCCTGCCCGCCATGTCCTCTATTTGGATCGCCCCAGTCAATCACCGCTCCTGCGCGGTGGGCGTTGTTGGACTTGGGCCGCATGCTCCTATCTAAGCGCTTGAAGATGGATTCGGCATTTGTATCGCTCGACCCCCACCGTGGGCCCTTTTCACACTTGAGCTTAACCAAATCAAGGCACGTTTGAGCGTCCTCGACACTGTCATGGCCCTTTGCACCCTTTTGCACCTCGCGCTTGAGATACTTTTGTGCCAGCCACTTGAGCGACTGCTTATACGGCGGCCCTCTTGGATGCGGATACAAGATGCCCGTGTCGATTATAAATGGATGTGTCAGCTTGAGTGCGTTAAGGTCAGAGTTAAGCGAGTGTCCGACCAGGATGGTGCGCGGCATAATGAGCTCCAACAACTCCTTTTGTATATCCGCCAGCGTGGTCGTGACGTCTTGAAGCATGGACGCTGTAATGCCCGACCATTGAGTCAGATGGTCTTTGATCGTGACCTCGGGCTTGACCAGCTTGTCCATCACTACTTTGCCGTCCCAATCGACCACGCTGATCCGCGTAAGCACCAGCTGCTCATCCTCCGCTTTGCACATTTCACAGTCAATCGACATGATGTGTCTGCCGGCGGTCAGACTACCCTGCTCCACATCCTGGTCGGCAGCTTGACCATCTACCAGGTTGGTGACATGGGTGTCGACCCAACCGTCGCTCGCAGTCTGCCGAGCGAGCCTCCTCCGCTCGCCATTGGCCTCCCTCGACTCTTCTGTGGTGAAGAGCGCTGGATGTAGTACGTATTCATTTTCCTGCTGCTCCATGAGCGAGGCAATATATCTGGTAATGGGCGTGGGCTTGTTCTCCCAGTGCTTCGAGTTCTGCGGCATGGGTCCCTTGTGATTACCGCTCTTCTTCATCTGCTTCTCCTCGTGCGTCTTTGGGATCTGTGACGATAGCATGGTGTGAATGGGGGAATGCACCCGCTGGTACTGGTTGTTGCGATGCTCGCCAATGGCCTTGACGGGCCACACGTGCTCGAACATGGCCGCCAGCGGCTTGAGCGATGCAGGCAGCCGGTCAGGTTTCAGACTAGCGGGATAAAAGTCATCGGGCGAGATGCTCAGCCGCTTTGGTTTGGAATCCGTCGCCTCGCCTTCGGCGGCTTCAGCATTTGGCGGCGGTGCAGCCTCGAGTGCAACACCTCCGTTGAACATGCCCAGGTCCAACCCCGGGACCATGAGCATGACAACCTGCTGGATGTTTGTGCGGCATCGCACAGACACCCACTGCGGCGCATTGCCGTCCGCCAGCAGATACAGCACCAGCGCCTGCAGGTCCGTCACCTTGACATGTGAGTTGAGGCGGGCGTGGTGAGAGTGCTCAATGGCCGGGTAGTTTCTGTCCAGCTTGCGTTCCTTTCTGCGATCCTCCCTCGACAGGCTCTGGTCAGCGTCCTGGGTGCCTGCTGGGTGCTGGCCGAATGCGTTGTCTGTCGGTGAGCAGCTGCCGGGGTGCGCTTCCTTGCTGGCAGAGGCATTGTTGAGAGGTGCATCTGTCCGGTCGCATGAATCACCAGAAGTACTCTGACCGGGTGGTTCCAACGGCGATGGCGACGGAGACGGCGCAACGCGGTGGCCGCCGTCCTTTTGATGCGCATTTGGTCCCTTTCGTCTCCTCTTGTCTGCGCCGACCACTGTCCAGCCCTCGTCGCCGCCGCCGCTCTGGGCCGCTGTCCTCGTTGCCTCGTCGACATTGTCCTCGTCGCCGCCGCGCATGTGCGCCAGAGTTGCGCCGAGCCCTACATCCACGGGGGGTCGGTCGTCGTGGGCGCCTCTTTTTCGCTTGGCCATGATGGTTTGTGTGAGGCGCAGGTACAAGAAAGACGCGTTTTTTTTTGCGCGCCACAACAACCATGTGCAAAACCGCCTGTTGCCAAGATTCCCAAAAAACGTCGCTGCCTCGGCCGCACCGACCACCGCGCTAGCTAAGTAGCGCAGCGCATCACTTTGGTTGCTCACCAAAAGCAAATTAGGGCACACGAGCTTGCAAAACCAAAACTCCACCACCAGCATCAAATCATGACTTCTCCTCTTCACCAAAAAAAAACGTCAAGTACACAGAACGCCCAAGTCCAAACGATGTTCTAGGCGACAAAGTCTCTTTTTTCTCTTGAATCTCGATGCCTTGCATAAACACTGCTGCCGTGCATAACGCTTGCCTAGCCCTACAAGCCTATAACAGACAAATCAAACCTTACTAGCACAGAGTTTTACACCAGACCCTATTCAACAAATAAGCCTATCTATTTCTCTGTGAATGCCCAGGTTCACAGTCAGTTTGTGTGTGTGTGTTTGTGTGTCCCCACATACGTACACATACGTACACACACATACACACACATACACATATACATACACACATACGGAGGTGACTGTCAAAAGTTCTTGCTCAGGCGCGGATCTATCGGACCAAATTCTCTTAATACACTTTCTATTATCATTTTAGCGTGTAGATAATATATCTTGATAGAGTTAGCATATTACTATAAGTGTATTCTCTAACAGCTAATACATTTTCTAAACTATTCTATTAAGTAAGGGCTTCTATTTACAAACTTAGTACTTATGATTTATAGTCTTAGGCGGTATTTTCGGCGGTAATTAAGGAACCCCTGTTAGCAAGAACTTTTGAAAGCCACCTCCGTACACAACCAAAAACCCTAAATTACTAGTCAACGTTTTTACCGACATATTCGCCCAGCGGGGGGTTGCGGAGGGCAGATCCCCCGACTGGCCGGCCCGAAGTCCCAGTCATCATCACGATCATCGCAAAACAGAAGCGAGAGCGAGAGTGGGAGTGGGAAAGCGAGCGAGAGATGAAGCGAGAGAAAGAAGAGCAAAAAAGAGTTTAGGTGTGATCTGCAAAAACGAATAAAACGGGTAAAGGTTAAATCCGACAGAGCTGGGGAGGGGTGGGAAAATAAGTGGCATGTGCGTCAGCATTGATGATGATGGTGCTGATGATTTTCACAGACCTGTATTCTTTTTTGGGGGCGACTAAGGGCTATAAGCTTTCCTCTGCTTACTGGGGGTGGGAGTGGCTGCTAGATTACCTACATGGGTTTGGTTATGCGGTAAATACGGTGGTTAGTATGTAGTTACAGAGAGGGGGAAGAAATGAAAGAAAACAGGGGCCATGACTATAGTCACACAGCCAACTACCGTGACAACACATGCAGTTTTTTTTTGTTGGATTATGAGACAATCAACCTTTGAGTGTTATCTTATCTTAAAGAGTAAAATTTTTTTATCACTATTAATAATATATTGTGATATCAATATAGGTAGCAATAGAAAAGGCTAGTCCAGAAAAAAAAATAGTGATCAAAATAGGTAAAGATTGAGGAAAAGGAGGGTGCGAGGGAATGACATCAGCAAAGGGAATAAGAGAGAGAAAGAAAAACGAGAATGACAGGGCGACGGAATAACCACGGGCAGTCTCACGGGCTGATTAAACGACTAACGGCAAGACCATAAAACTGACGAACGCAAAAAAAAAAAATAGTTGTGGGGATGGTGGCTGAGCGGTAAGTAGGTACAGATATAAAAATAACAATGGAATTATTGATTCCTATATATATATATACAACACAACACAAACCATTTCTATTTATACAACTATATGTGAATATATGTACAGCGAAAATTATGTGAGACAAAGAGAGAGAGACATGGATTTAGAGAGAGAAAAAAAAACAGGAGAAAAAAAAGAATAAGAAGATTGAATGTTTGGTTAAATACATGGGAATATATTGGGATAAATTTACAAAAGTATTTCTCTCGCTTGCCCCGCACATGCAGACATACAGATATATAAGGGGCCACTTACTTTACTTGAAGCCCAACTCCAGATTCTCATACAAGACCTCTGGCTGCTTCTTCGAATGCGACACGCCCGTGTGCATCGAGGACGAGACGCCGTAGCTCAGCTTGCCAGGGCGGTTGTTGGTAGCCGTGTCGAACTTGATGCAAGTGCCCAGCAGGGCTTTAGCCAGCACGTGCATCTGCGGGAAACACGTGATTGCGATGCTAAGGAAGATTTCTATGGCGGACCATTTTACGACGGGGACGAGGTTCCCTGTCGTTGTTAGTTGCGGTATTTTTTTCTTTTGCAAATGCTGATGAAGAGAAGAAAATGTGGGGGGAGGGGGAAGAGAGCGGGGGATGAAGGAAGAACTTACATGACGTGTTGTTGGTGTAGCTCCCGTTTAGCAGGATCGAGATGCGCGCAATCGCTATACCGGTGATTCTGCGGGGTTTTTGGCTGCGTGAGCTAACGGCACTGGTACATGCTTGTTTAGGCATAGGTAGGAAAGGAGGGGGGGAAGAACGCCAAGACTCAGGACTCGGCACTCACAGGAAACCAATGCAAAAGACAAACAGCACGGCAATCTTCTTCTGCCAGCGCAGATCCAGCTTGAGCACGCGCGGAATCGGTAGCACCATAATACTGCCATCCATGATGACGTTTGTGATGCCAAAGACAAAATTGAGGTTGTCGCGGTTAACGCCGCACACAACGTGCTTTGGCTTGGGGACCAGGGTGCCCTCCCACTGTTCCCAGATAAAGGAGATGGGTACGCATTGCAGAAAGTGGGCCAGAAAGATGGAGATAAGCAGGCATGTGCACATAGCGATGAATGCATAGACGACCTGACGGATCTTGCCAATGGGGAAAATGCGCAGGTAGAACGTCAAGACGGTCATCTTGGTCAGAAAGGTCAGGAGTACGTATCCCAGCTCTTCGAAATGGTAGTACTAATTGGTTGGTTTTGGCGTTAGCTTCTAACACATATACGCGCTCCTATTTTTGGGGCCTGCTGCTCGGAGTTCCGGAGTTACCCAAGTTGGTTTGAAGCGTACCTTTGTCATTTCTGCGACATCCCGAGGTGTAAGCATGTAGATGTCTTGGCCGAAGCCAAGGTCTACAGCCTTGAGGATGCTGGCGAGGAAGAAGGCTGCGATTGGCTGTTGGGGGTTGGCGATCAGTACCGGACTACGTAACTTTGTTACACTATAAGGGGCTCTGGCTATAGGGATACGCACCACCATGGCCAGGACTAGCCAGTCGTCTGCACCCCATTTGATGGAGAGCGGGGGTATGCGTGTCAGGAATCTTAGGGTGACTGCTACAAAAGCAATGGTGGCGACAGCCGTCACAGTGCTTACTAGAGGCGCGGACGAATTCCGGATGCCAGTATTGCATGTCGTGTGGTACAAGGAACTTCCTTCTAGAGACTACAGTTAGACCCGACAGCGCACAACCCAACACGTAGTCTCTCCCCTCTCTCGCCTCGGAACAACGAACCGTAATAAGCAAGTACAGGACAGAACCAACTTAGGCACGACTCAATGCCTGGAGCCATGGTGGGAGTGGCGCAGAAGCATGCAGTGTCTAGAGGATGGCACCCGGTCGACTCGAGCACAGCTAGAGAACACACCCGCTGCAAGCTATCATGTGAGCTTTGGATCAACTAAACTTTGGCGTATATGCTACAAGGTGAGGCCATGGGAATGCGGAGTAGACTCACAGAGCAAAAAGGCATCTCGTCAAACATACCGCCGACACTGACGTTGAGAACCCATGGCTCCTGGTAGCTCGCATCGAAGCCTGCTGCTTCTTGCGCGATGACAGCGTAGAAGCAGCTTGCAAAAGCCACGAGCAACGCGAGAGCTAGCATCTCTCTTGTTTTTTTTCGGCACTCGAATAAGTAAAGCGAGCGACACCAACGCAGCAATCGCGAGAGCGAACGAAGGTCTCAAGCTGTTTTTACGCACAAGAGCTACGGGCGCAGTGACCAACGGTAAACCATGCACGTGGGAGCGTATGTAGAGCAGAATAAAGGGCGAGAAGAGGGATCTTCCAGGCAAGGCCGGCGCAGGCGAGACAAAGCAGAGAGATAAGGCCGGATCGCGCCCACACCCACCACCTAAAAAAACAAAACAAACGAAACAAGAAAAAGTACCAATGCTGCGAGAAATGGGAAAAGCAAAGGAAATAGTGCACTATGCAGGGGTGGGAGGGGGTGCGGGCGCAAAGAGGATGTGTTCCAGCGCTTATTATAGCGGGAAACGGCAGATAAGAGACGGCAACTCGACGCAGAAACGGGCTGGCAAAGCAAAAAAGTTGCAAAGCAGGCAGCCCCAGGTTCAGATGGTCGTGGATGATACAGATGATCGAGCCGTGTCACAGGGGAGCGCAAGGCGGGCCATGAGCAGTAGCGGGTCCTGTCAACTCCAAACATTCATTTAATGCAAGTGGGATGGTGGTGGGCGATTGTTGCGTGATTGCTTACTCTCTGCCGCGGTTTGGTGCTGGCATGTACTCTGTTGGTAGATTAGAAGTCAAAGTATGTGTATGAGTAGGTGGGTGTGGGCAGAGAGGCATCGAGAGAGGGAGACTCGTCTCGAGCGAGTCGCACAAGCATACCTAGTCGGACTTATTTATTTGCTGCGCAGCCCTATCGCTTGACAAAACATATAGTCTGCACGTGCTGGGCCCCAGACTGTTTTTCCGTGCACAGTGTCGAGATGGTGTGTTTGGCATGTTGAATGTGTGAGTGTTTCTCCCCTTGGCGGGCAGCAAAAGGGCACGTTCGCGTTTTAGCATTTGGGGCCCCTGCGCTGCCAAGACTGCATCCGAGCCAGTCGCTTTGGCCTCCAGCGACGACGGCTTATCTAACGAGACTCATGATTCCGGTTTGGCACATGAATCGTCCGTAAATAACGTTATCATATGTGTGAGCGTACGTGTGTCCATGTGCATGTGAGAGGAGAAAAAAAAAGGTGCTGCGACTTTTCCTTGCCCTCAATCGTCGCATTCTCCGTTTGTGCTTTAGTGCCAAACTTTGATTTTATCAATGTACTTACGTAGGTAGGGTACGTATAAGCATGAGTAAGTAACGCCGCGCGCCACGCCGCGCCTCGACGAAGCAAAAAAAAAACTAAAACTCTGGATTTCGACATCTTCTTCTTCTGGTTATCTCCGCGTGCGTGATATGGCACTCAATGTGAAGAAGACGGGCGTGTCAATGGCCCTCATGCGTCGCCAGCAAGTGGGCTTCAACAATGTTTGATCTTGTTTGTCTCGTCGCAACAATATCCACACCTCCATGACGCTGCTGAAGCCACAACCAGGTTTCGCCCAAGTTTGATGCCCCGCCGTGCATGCCCTTGTACAAAAAAAAAGACCATGCATGCATTTGCTTCCCGCCTGCCTGTTCTGCTGCCATCCCAGAGCCTTGACGACTGGGCAGAGCCAACGGCGGCAGTGCAAGTCGTGGCTGGATACTTGGACGACGACGACGACGCACACGGTCGGAAATATCGCTGTCGCACCACCGACTCTAGGGCCACGTGCTAGCGGGCGGCGGAGAGTCAAGACGCTCGTGTGCTGCATGCGACGTTGTCGATCTGATTCGGCGATCTTCGCACACGCCTAGTATCGAGTAGTAGGTAGCATTAGCCTGACCAGGTAAAGGTAAGCACATGTCATGGTTAGGCGACTTCGCTTCTCAACACTGAATCGAAGAGGCCCTGGCCAGCCCGCGTTTCCCCGGCCGTGTGCGCCCGACGCAAGGAAAGAGAGAGAAAGAGAAAAAAAGGGCCTTTATGTCGATCAATGAAACCGTCATATATTGTCGTTAGCCAGGTCATCAGGCCACAACATCCCCCTCCCCCCCCAACTATGTACACGTTGTAAGTATAGGGGGGGGGGCTTGGCACCGGTAACTAGTAAAAGCATGTCGGTCGTCTGCCAGCTGCCTTCGGCGCTTCTTTTGCAATCTCTAAAGCTATTTACGCTATATGAGCAACGGGCCGCCTATCCCATTTTAAATCAGCTCACCCCCCCTTCAAGAGCTATTATACATGTAGTAACGCACAGTAGCGAAATTAAACATATTAGGTGGTCAACTACATATTATTACCTAGTAGTGCACGGAAGTCCGGTTTTGGGGGGGGGGGAACACGAGCCTAGAATCCATTTCAAGCTTCGGAGTATTTTCCTCTTTTTCTTTTTTTTCTTCGTTTATTTAATAAACAATCATAAATCATAATCATAATATCCCGTAAAGGAAGGAAAAAAAATTTCTCGCAGGTGCCAATTAATATGCCCTTTTATCAGGGGTTAGCCCTTATTCAACTTGCAAGGGCAGAATAAAGTGTGTCATTGGCCCTTGATATTTTTTTTGTGCAGATCCGGTCACCCCCTTGCAAAACCCAACTACACACACACACACACACCCCTTACTGTACAACCCTTCGTGGTTCGTGTTTTTTCTTTTGCACCGGGACACCCGGAAATTGAGTCGCAAACCTATAAGCCCTGCAAAACCCATCAGAATGAAAAGTATCACTATTCCAGCCGAGGCAAACTGCGGAATAGCCAGCAATAAAATCTATTCGACCTGGTAGTGTCCATTCTAGGCATCGATTGACCTCGGCCGCGTTTAGTAATAGCTGACCTTTCTCGGGTCGTCTTGTTGGAGGTGATGGAATCGTTTGAAACTTCCGACGCTCCCGGTAATCTATCTACTGACTCCAAACCCTCCCCTCCCTCCCCTCCCTCTTATCTCATCCCGCATTAGACCCGTTTTTTGGTGGGTGTGTGTGTGTATGTGTGTTTCTCACAAACCAGCCACAACCACCACCGCCGCCGCCGCCAAAACCCGGCTTGGGTCTGGGCCTAGAAGGCGATCACCCAAAGGCGCACCGACACGCGCGTCCCGACTCATTGGAGAGCAGAAGCGAAAGGGTTTCAAAAGCTGACAACTTTTTGGGTTGCCGGGCTTGGGGTGGTTTGGACAAAACACAAGTAAGCAAGCGGGGATCATGCTCCGGCCCCATTGGGGGGGGGAGGGACTCGAGAACATGGTTTGCAGGGTCTCTCTCGGTGTGGAGTAATGCTGGGTTTAAAGCGGCGCTGGAAACTGGAGGAGAGAAAGTGGGGCTAGCGTCGTGCTTACATACATTTTTGTATGTATACATACATACCAGTACGCATGTATACTTGACTAGTCGGCCGCTGGGCACTGGGGGCACTTGAGCAACGGGTAGCTAGCGTGTGATCGGGCATCGGTATCCTTGTGTGAATCGAGCAAAGAGTCGTAAAAAACCACGCTTTCTCTCAACGTATTAGTTTACTACCGCGGTTTCGCAACTCGAGGGCTTTGGGCCCCAACTCCGAGCCTTCCCGCCCCGCCGCCCCCTATCTCTGTCGTTGCACACTCTAGTCTATGGATGTACAACGCGAGGGCCTGCCCGTACCTCTGGGACGGGTATCTGCGCTGATCAACAGGTCGATCAAAGTTAATGCAATGAAGCCAAGCATCGAACCACTGTCCGCCGCGTGAGCCTGAGTGCCAGCAGGGTCGTTGCTGGCACTGAGCGGGGGAAATCCACCCACACCCACACCCAGAGAGAGCCATCGTGTGTACACGCAAAGTGTGTGAGTAGCATTATGTAGCGCACCTGAGAGAACCAGACATGGGTTTTATTTACCTCAAATATAATAATAACCAGTTGGACGGTGCAGTGAAAAGCCATATACATACACACACCCATGGCTACTCATGCAAGTGTGTACCCAAAGGAAAAAAATTGCTACCACCATGAAAACCAACCCCTGATCGCCCGCCTATAGGCTGAGACGCTAATCCCGAGAGGCCTGACGTGGAGAGGCGGTGTGGGCGTTTTCTTTGATTTATCATGTAGGTGTAGGATGGCCATCTAACGTCAGACTGTGCCTGGCGCAAAAGCCAAAGTGGAATGATAACGTTGTAGAAATAAAGTCGCCTCGAGTTCAACATTCCCGGCAACCTGTGGCTTGTACCCGGGAAGGGGGGGGCAAAGTTGCATCAACCATTCTTAGCCCCAGCTTCCAATCATAGGGCGACCGGAATTAGTTGCAATCGGGCGTTTGGTGCTTCACTAGCCATGTTGGACTGTTGGCTGGATGCATTGATTGAAAACCAAATAAGTACCCTGTTGCCAGTAACTGCCGGTTCTCGATCGCGACCATGGCAAGGATGTGCCGACCATGTCCGCTATGAACAAAGAGTTTAACCGGCATGTCGTGCTACACCTCGATAGTGCATGTCAGCATTTATGCGTCTTCAACCTGAGCTCCTGCTTGAAACGTCTCAGCACCATCCCTTTTTCTGTGCTCTCAGTTTGATTGCGTCGTCATGTTGGCTGGGTGCGGGGTTCATCTCAGGCTTCTTCTACCTACACCACTAGTGTGAGCTTATCAGCAAGTCTGGATGTACATACAACCCTCTACAGTCATAACGCCATATTTTATCATACTTGGTCTAACCACATGCTTGATTTATAGTTTGCCCCTCCTCTTTTCAACAGCTTCTCTCAGCTTGCTAATCACATCGCCGGGGTCTGAAGCGCCGAAGACAGCGCTGCCAGCAACAATGACATTAGCGCCAGCATCAGCAGCTTGATCAATAGTCTTCTCGCTTAGACCGCCATCGACCTCGATGGGGAGATTGGGATACCTTTGTCGAAGCGCTGTGACTTTGGGCAGCTCAGAGGCCATAAACGACTGTCCACCAAAGCCGGGCTCAACCGTCATGACCAGAACCATCTATAGTAGTTAGCAGCCGCTTTTTCTTTTCAGCACACGTGACGCGGTCAGTGTAGGTCGTTTGCTCTTGAGGCTATTGATCCTACTGCGGGAGCAGCCAGCGGCGTAGACGGACAGGGGCTGACGCGTGGTCGCCGGGCCAGCTAGCTGGGAGATGGCCAATCGGGCCATCGGCACTTTGGCACCCTCCGGCATACTTCTGGAAGAGGTTGCGAAGGTCGAGACTGATTGCCCATGGGTGCTGCAAAAGCTGCCGTGCTTAAGCGCCGACACAGCGTGCCGCCCGCACCCAAACGAGGCCAGCCCTATCAGCCTTGGCGTCTTGGACCACTTTGCAAGCCGGCCAGCTCGCCGGCACATGGCGCGCGCATTCCCACTGTAATATTGATTCCGGCAGCCACGACGATAGCGATGGAGGAAAACGAGTACTCACATCAGGGACTTCTTCCTTGTTGGGGCTGTCCAACATCTCCCACAAGACATCCACGGGCGTGCTCGGCTTGATGGCAATGCCGGCCTGCATGCCCTCGCCGTGGATGAAGCGAATGAGCTCCTTTGGCGACGTCTTCTGATCCGACTTTGCGCTGGGCGAGTCTGCGGCCGTCGACGACACGGCAGCCTCGTAGTGGAAGCAGTAGAGGTCACAGCCGGCCTTTTTGAAGTCGCGGACCCATCTCTTGGGCTCGGCAATCATCATGTGGCAGTCAAACGTGCCCTTGCCATACGCCGTGGCTGGGCGCTCGACGTGGGAGCGGATCTTGGTGACGACGGGCGCTCCAAAGGTCATGTTGGGCACAAAGTGGCCGTCCATGATGTCGACCTGCACGTGTCAGCCGCATGCGTCCAGCGTCTCTACTCTGCCCTGCTCTGCGGCAGCGGGCCAAAAACGCATACATGGAGCCAGTCGGCGCCCTGCGCGATTGTGTCTGAGCAGGCCTTGCCCAGCGCTCCAAAGTCGGCCGACAGGATGGACGGGGCAATGATGGCGGGGGGCGACATGGCGGGCGCGGAGATTCCTGCGTGTAGGTATATGCGGTGTCCGGACGAGAGATGTTTTTGGTGTTGTGACGGCATCGCCAGCGTCACGCCCGCCCCGCATCGTCGTCGTCGTCGGATGGCGCCCCGCTTTGGATGCTTGGCATACCTCACCCACCTCGCACGCAACGCGACCAGCTCCACCGCCAGCCACGACACAAACACACCGACACTGACACCGAAACAGACACCGCCAGCCTCGCGCCCCGTACCGAGGCCACGAGACAGCAAGAGATTGGGACTCGGCAGAAAGAGCTGGCAGAATATCGACGACGCACCATGCGCGATGCTGTAAAACCCATCTGCGCAGTGCTATTGGCCCGCCACGCACATGGCGAGCGCTGCAAATAGCACAGCCCGGCGCTTACAGGCCATGGCCCCAACCACGACGTGCATTTCAACGCCTTTCTAGCCCAAAGCAGGCGGCCTACGGTAAACGACTGTGGTGCTCGTAGACGGTGCTGGCCCAATCATGCCCGCGCTGCCACGGCCATGGTGTAGTGGCCCTGCTTGAGCCGCTATCGTCTCTCCACCCCAGACTCAGCCCTGGCCGCGAGTGGACGACGAGCTGGCAATGGGGCTCGGACAGCTGCCACAGTAGCACTAGCCCACCGTGTGCGCCGGCGAGTAGGCGTCTATGTGCGATATATCCCTTCGCCGCCTCGCCCGCGCCGCATCGACTCTGATCTGCCATTCACTTCTAGCCCTCGTCCGAGCCCCCCTTTTCCTCGCAAAGTCTTCGTTGACCGAAGCACTCCCGTTTTTACCAGTAAGCCGTTGAGCGGCGCCGTTCAGGGCTATAGCCCATCTTAATATCGCTTCCTTTTCGGTTCCCGGTACCAGCTGTATTTGGATCCCTACCACCCACGCCGCACTCCCACCCGCTCGGATTTTCAAAGTATCTTTAGTAATAATAGCAAGAGGCGGTGCTCACGTCACCCAATATACCATGAAGCCAGAGATGCTGGAGCCGGCTGTTTACCATCCTGCGGCCCCAAGCACCAGGGCAGACTCCCGCCATGGCCTGTCTCCGCTGGACCAGAGACAGACACTTAATACCACAAACGACGAATGTTCCATTCCCACCTACTACTTCACTACGAGGTACTCTACCTCTTCGGCATACCAGCCCAGTGCCACATCGCCCTCGAGCCTCGACGACTTCCCTACGCCCAAGGCCCGTTTGTTCGACATGACCCCCCAGCCTTCGCCGCGCTTTCCTCGTCACGCGGCCACCTATCCGCCAGCAACTCGGGAGAGCCGTACAGACAGCGACTTTGACTCGTTGTATGACATCACTGACGACGAAGCTGAGGTACCGCTGCACGCATCGGCGTCAGTCAAGAAGCTTGCAACACAGCCAAGGCGGAGACGCTATCCGTCCATTGTCATTCCCTCGCCCTCTGCCTGGCCAACGATTGAAAAGTTGAAGAGTGCCAATTCGGCCGTGCCTGTTACTCCGTCATTGGTGCTGACGCCTTCTCGCCGTTACCTCGAGATGATTGACTCTCATAACCTGCAGGTACCGGAACGCTCCGCTGCTCCCTCATTGGACGGCAGCCTCACTTCAGAAGAAATGGACAAGCTCAGCTGCCCAGCTACCCCAATATCACAGCAGAGGCCTGGATCCTCGTCGAGCTGTGACTCGTGGGGTCCCGTGCAACTTGACATGCAAGCCATGGAGACGCTTCAACATCTGGGCAACTCACCATCCACTGAGCAGTACGAGCAACGAGAGCAACAGCAACGCGAGACGAATGCGACCAGGGGTGAGATGCGGGAGGTCTCTCGGCCAAGCCTTGGTCTGAGCATTCCATCCACCATCTTCGGAAATGCCTCCTCTGGCAGCACGCCCCTCTCTGCCCTCTCAGTCCCGTCACCAGGAGGCTTCTTCTCTTCGCTCCAGGCTAGTGCCCGCCACACATGGAGCATTCCTAAGCGGGTGGATTCAATCCCAAACACGTCTACCGCTGAGAAGTTCTACAACCTCCCATGGGACAAGACCAGCCGAAGGAATACCTCGCCACACCCTGCACCAGCTGTACCAGCTCTCCCGCGGCGAAACTCGACTCTGGGTGGATCGACTCTCGATGGATTCGACGATCCTTTGGCAACATCGCGACCAGTAATTCTCAGTCCTGCAGATGAGAATGTAGAGATCAAAGAGATCAACCCCAGCAAGACGGTCTTCCAGTACAATGAAAACTACAACGCTGAGCTTCAAAAAGTATCTTGTCTGAATCTCGAAATGACTGGCCGATGGTTGGAGGAACAGGATGAGCTACAAGCCGCTCTTCGTGACATGGCTGACATCAGCTCGCCCAACCTCTCTACTGGAACCCATAGTCGCGGCAACTCAGTGGACAAGCCCGCAGTCAAGAAGTCGGTCAAGTTTGCTGATGAGCCCGCCAAGTCTCCAGTGCCAGAGTCGGCTACCAAGCCTATCCTGACTTATGTCCAAGGCCTCGAGTACCTTCGCTCTCGTTGCCAGAAGAAGGATACATTCATCCACCGCCAGACCCGCGCCGAGGCCATGCATGTACAGCGTCGCTGCAGCCCTCTGGCTCATCGCGATCAGCTCCTTGGCAATTTTAAGCTCGGCCAGCCAGATCGTCCAGTGCCGCCACGTCCCGTGTCTGAATTCTTTGTCGATGACCCGACCGTCTTGAAGGAGAGGATTGCACGTGCGCAGATGGAACGCCAGGCGCTCGACCAGATGCTGCCGATCCATTGGGTTCTGCAGGCACAGAAACAACTCAATGGAGGAAGACTGTTGAGCAAGGCCGCAGCGCGACGAGTTACACGTGCCAGTGCGCCACGCATCCTCGATATCGGCGGTGTCGCCGCCAACGACTGGGCGTGGGACGTTGCATACGATTTCCCCTACGCCTCTGTGATTACTGTCTACACAGCAGGTAACAACATGTCTTTGGATGTCAAGGGCCCAGACAACCACAAGCACATGACGGTCCCTAACCTGTGGACCCTTCCCTTTCCCTCGGGCCACTTTGATGTCATCTCGGCACGCACACTGTACGAGCATCTCAAAACCATCAAGCCTTTGGGCAAGACGTGCGATGAGTATGACTTGTGCTTGAAGGAGTGCTACCGGTGCTTGAAGCCAGGAGGTGTGCTTGACTTTTCACTCATGGACGCGGATGTTGTGCACGCTGGTCGCAACGCTCAAGCCATGGGTGTCGAATTTGGCTTCAATCTCAAGACACGCGGCTATGACGCGCAGCCTACCAAGGCCTTTCTTCCTCGCGTCTCCAAAGCCGGCTTCAAGGACGTGCAGCGCGCATGGATGTTTCTCCCCATGGGCAAGACGGCTGCCAACTGGCGTGAAACGCTCCCCGTTGGTGCCGAGCCACAGCCCCAAGAGCGGAGAATCACGGAGAATGGACAGATTGAGCTTGAGGATACGCCAGTATATGGCACGACGATTGACGCGGCCATGCTGACTGGTATCGTCGGCAGCTGGGCGTGGGAGAGGTGGTTGTTGAGACTGCAAATGGAGATGGGCAAGGATGAGGATAGATTGCTCGAGGGTGTAGTCAATGTGCTTGAAGAGGGTGCCCAGTGCCACTCTGGGTGGAGGACTCTGACTGGTTGGGCAAGGAAGTAGATTTTGGATGGCTGAAAATGTTACGCGATACGGTGTTATGATGGAGGGTTTTTGTGTTGGATACTGTACTGGCTTGATACCACATATCGAATTTCTTTTGTACATTCATGACAACATTACCATCACTTTACTGTCAAGAACAACAATTGGTGATGGCTGATTTGAGTGTGATATGCTGGGTAATAGCGTGGCAAGACTTTGGTGATGCAACAAAAGCAACGGGCCTTGCCCACGGCGCGCGAACCCCACACGGTCCCTGCGCAACCTCGTCACTCTGCCAGCCCGCCTCCAAAAGTCGCGACAACGACAGCGACAACGACAACACCAGAGCCCCGCGCCACCCACGCCTCCTCTCCCCGCTCCACATCCCATTGCGCCATCTAGATCGAACCCAGCGCCACCATGTTATTCTTCAGGTCCGTCTCTCTCTCTCTCTCCATCGCAAGCTCCCCCACCCACCCGCTCAAACAAAGCCACCCCATTCCAGCACCTCGACATGCGCTAACATCTCGGCATCACTCCAGCTTCTTCAAGACGCTCGTCGAGCACGAAATCACGGTCGAGCTCAAGAACGAAGTGCAGATCCGCGGCACGCTGAAAAGCGTCGACCAGTACCTGAATATCAAGCTGGACAATGCCGAGGCGGTGGATGAGCTCAAGTGGCCGCATTTGGTACGTTTCTGGAGTGTTCCTGGTAAAGAGGTGGAGAGGGAGTTGGAGATGTGGATTGCGGGGGAGAAATGGGAGAGATGGAGATGCTGGTGCTGGTGCTGGCTACGGGCTAACACACACAGTGCTCAACAAAAGACATGTTTATCCGCGGCTCCGTCGTGCGATACGTCCATCTCCCTTCTGGCGCCGTCGATACCGCTCTGCTGGAAGATGCGACGAGGAGAGAGGCTGAGGCGGCGAAGAACAAGGCAAAGTGAGGGAATTGCATACGCCATGCGTGGTGAGAAGGGAAATACGAGTGAGACATGATTGGTATACTGGAATGTGAATGGAAGAGCGCAATGACGACAAGCATCGGGCGGGAGGGTTGGAGTCTTTTATTTTGAAGCATGCGGAATAGCAAAGGGGAGGAGAAGACCTGGGCTTGAAAAAAGACTGGGAATAGGTGGTGGGTGTGTTTGGGGATGGAAATCGGAGTGGGAGAGAGAGAGAAGAATTGTAGCGAATGCTTGCTGCTTTTTTCTTCTTCTTTTATGAGCAGTGCTGTGAGGGGGGAATTGGGCGCTTGGGAAATTATATATACCCTTGGGGGTTTTTTTGTGAAATGTGTCGATGGGTTGTAGGCTCGCTTTTCCATCCGTCTGTACGTGTATGCTTGTCCTCTTTCCTACATGCCCTAATTCACAATGTCTCTGTCTCTGTCTCTGTCCCTGTCTGTCTCTGTGCTACCAAGTCATCTGTTCCACCATATCAACAAACGTGTTTCATTTATCCATTCGTCTATCTGTTGATGTATCGATATGGTCATTTATTTGTGCATTCATTTCGAATTCAGATTTCAGGATTTCATACCTGAGCCTAACTCCACGCTGCTGCTTCTAGCTACATACATGCCAAATATCACTACGTACATACTCAACTGCTATAAACAGGTGGTATGTTTTCTATATCTCAACCCCCAGCTTGAATTTCCATCTTAGTCCGAGTCTTGGCGTACATGTATATCACTTCATCTCCCCCTTACCCTCCCTTCTTCTATTCATTTCTAAACACAGCAACGAGTTACTATACTGCACATACTCCCACACACTCTAACACTCCAACCATTCCAAAAAGAAAGATAACAGAAAAGGCGAACAAAAAGAAAGAGGAGAAGTGAGAAGGACAAGAAAAAGGGAAATATAGCAGTTTACTTAGTTTTCTATTTGTTATAAATATAGACAAAGGATTGTCCTGGAGAGGATAAAGGGGAGAAGGGGGGGGGTGGATATATGTATATTATGTTCACGCTGCTGTCACTGCTACTGCCGCTGTTAGGGCTGCTGTTCTCGTAATAGTTAGGAAAGTATATTACAAGCTGGAAAAGGCGAGATAGGATGGAATGAGATGGGGTGAGGTGGACTGGTATTTATTTGTAGAGGAGAAGAGAAGAGAAGTTTAAGATTTAAAAAAAATAGTGGTTTAATATCTATATGTATTCTAGCTCTGCGTCTTTTTTTTCTTTTTCTTCCTATCTTTCCTCCCTTTTCTTCCTTCCTCTATTCCCTCC